GTCCAGATTATGAAATACCCGGACTAACAAATCATCTTGGCACCTTTCATATGCGTGTAAACGGTCCGGAAAGCGGGGTGTCCGGTCTATCGGGGTGTGAACTAACTAGGTTTAACTGTAATTGATAAAACCATGCCATAAACAACAACCATCGTGGATTGTTGTTTGTTCAATGACGTCATAAGGAGGAGGGCAAAGCATGTCCCTAACCTGTTTGGGGGAGTACAGTGTGTGGAGTAGAACATGACGTTAAGTATTTCCGGATTTGTGTGCCAAATCCTTAATTCCCCCCAACCTGTCCTCATCCTTCAACTGCAAACAAAAACGAGTTTGTTTGCCCACATCCATAACACTGTGAGGAGCTCGCAATGCACAATCCGCAACAAGGCTGGAAAAACGTGACCAGTCGCTGCAAGGACCTTGCGGTGACTTAAACATTCTCTGCAGCCGTGTTAAAAGATTAAAATTTAACAGAAAATGTGTCCGAGTATTTAACCAAAAATAAATATTTGAGTGTAATTTTTCTTCAAATCAAACAAGAATTATGGCTATTTGTTTTATACAATTACAGTTGGAAGAGACATAGACACAGCATATCTGCTGAACGACAGCAAATATAGAGAGTGCTATTTTGTCCATCTGGGTGGAAGTCAATAAAACTGTTTGTGGACTCGGTTTAAAAAGCGCAAAATTGTATCACGTTCGTCGCCAAGAGGCAGACAGTTGGGAGATCTCGCCATTAAATAGCAGCATGCGCCGTCCAAATATATGTTTTGTTATAAAGAACTGCAGAAGCTACCAGAACAAAGCATTAGTCAGGGTTACGGTGGTGCGATGAGGCGTCAATCTGGAAGACGTCATCGGCTGCACGTTTGGCGGCCCGGGGACACAGGCGCTGCGCGGTCTCCCCCCCCCCCCCCCCCCTGTACTCCTTGTGACTGTGTATGACCCGATGTAGTGATGAACACTGTTACAACTGTGACTTGTTTCTAAACTGACAGTAGCATTCTGCACGTTTTCTGATGTTTAAAACATGTAGTATGTACGTAGTTGGCTCACCTGCATAAAACTGTGTTATATTTAGTGAGGTGAGGTGAAATAGGGTTTAACGTCTCGTCCAAGATTATTTCACTTATACAGTGACGTGTGTGCACGTGTGTGTCTGGCTGCGTGTACTAGTTCGGACTAATGTCGATCTTATAGTGCTTGCCCAGTTTAGTAGGAATACCCTACTCAGACACAGTATACTGACTCCGAGCCGACCAGTCCTTGTTTTAGCAATATTCCAGATATTAGCATGATTAAGCCTTAATGACAAAAAAACCAACCTAAAACCAGTTAAATACAATATAGAGTTAATATGGCAAAATAAAATGAGTGAAACCCATTTTATGTGCCCATTGCATTTATATAATTTGATGTAATTGTCGGCGGATCATGTAAAGTCCATAGGTATTTATTTGACCCGTGAAGATCCGAATAGAATAGGTCTTCAGCAACCTATGCTTGTCGTATGAGGTGACTATGCTTGTCGTAAGAGGTGAGTAACGGGATCGGGTGGTTAGGCTCGCTGACGTGATTGATGCATGTCATCTTATTCCAATTGCGTGGATCGATGCTCATGATGTCAATCACTGGATTGTCTAGTCCAGACTCGATTATTTACAGACCGCCGTCATATAACTGGAATATTGCTGAGTGCGGCGTTAAACAACAGACAAAACAAAACATAGGGTATTGATAAAATTAGAATATATCCTGAGTGCTCGCCTGTCCTCGTCACAACTTCATATGAAATATGGCAGGAATAACAACATCAAAAATACCTGCATTTACCAAGCGTCTGAATAGGATACAGTTAAATGCCAAATATATCAGGAAGATCACACCAACAGCCAACATCGATATCTAGCAGTTCAACCCCGTGGGCGATGTAGACCGCCTGCAGTGGTTTTCGCCATGCAATATCGGTCAAGGCAGCTTGCCCTGGTCATGGTGACCCAAAGACGATCGGAGACAGTTCTTCGAACTTCACGTGCGCGGGCTGTGCCATGCCGATATTGGTCTTCTAATTAGGCCTAGTTACCAAGAATTCCGAGATTCCATTCAATTGTTGATATGCGAGACTGCGTATCTGGCATTTTACACATGGCAAAATCTCATTTTCAGTGATTAATCAATATTGTTCACGCCAAGAAAGCAGTGCATATTATTATTAATTGCATTTTTCACTGCTCAAAACCAAAGTCGTGGAAAGAAAGAGTTTTTTTCCTCTCATTAATCAAACTCAAGAATGACAAACTTTACCATCAGGAGACATTTGCAGTCGCTGTAAATAACTAAATATGCATTAGGGGGAATACAGATGTTTTCACCATATACATTGCATTAAGATTGAAATATACAAATAAGGTTTAACGACATTGTATATGAGGCAACGCATTACACGTGAAGCAAGTTTACACAAGATGCAATTTCGTGAATTGTAATCGTTTGTTACGTAACTGAAATTTCTACAAGCTTAACAGAGCGTACAAACAAGGTTTAGGTCTTTGTTGGGGGTGGGTGGGATATTTAAAGGGATGGATGGATGCAGATTGAATCGAAAAAGCAAATTATAAAGGGAAAATTGTTTCCGGGCAGTGAGTGAGTGAGTGAGTGAGTTGGGTTTAACGCCGCTTTTAACAGTATTCCACGGCGTGTCAGCTTGATGTGGGAGGAAAGCCCGAAGTGATGCAGGTCAGACGTTTACCACTTCGGTGAAACCCACGAGCACGGGTATGGTGCTGACAAACCTAGAAACATAATCGGGGCGAACCGGGATTCGAACCCACAAGCATAGGTTTTTGGCGTGCCCTAGGGACGCACACTCTGCACAGCGAATCGCGGCGCCTTAGACGACTGGTCCTTGTCAAGCTCCAGACAGGGTATCAACAAGTACCATCTGTTAACGTCTTTTGGTATGACGCGGCCGGGGATCGAACCCCGGACCTTCCGCTCTCTGGGCGGACGCTCTACCACTAAACCACGGAGGCGGTCTACACAATAACAGTTCCCCGGTTACACATGGCACTGAGTACACAACATCGAAACCTAAACTGGGAATTGGAACTTTAGAGCACTATCCATTTTTATCACTACATGAGTAAGATTAAGAGGAGTGAGTATGGTTTTACGCCGCTTTTAACAATATTCCAGCAATACCACGACGGGGGACACCAGACATGGGCTTGCCACATTATACCCATGTGGAGAATCGAACCCGGGCCTTCGACGTGATGAGCAAAAGCTTCAACCTCTAGGCTACCCCACCGCCCTAAAATGAAGGAATAAGCTGCAGTTGGGGTCAGTGTTCGGGACCTTAAAAACACCACCCTCAACAGAATATTCATGTCAGTTATGAACGAATGAAGAGCAGCCATTTGTTAAAGGGATGCTAAGCTCGGACCATGTGATAGTCCCAGCAAATTTGATTCAAGTTCAAAATAAACTTTTCGTCTGCTGTTTCTTATGATATTAACACGTCAATCAGTTAATTATTGCATTATTTACAAAGAGACACTGTGAATTTCATAATTTGCATTAATTACACTGAAGACTTGAAGCGAGCATCGGGCCGTGAAACACGTAGACACTTTAAAATTGTGTCATTTCTATTCATGAACGTAGGTTTTTCACGGACTTGTCTATAGGTTATATAGGTCCGTGGTTTATTGACTGCTGTGAGCATTCAATCCTATCACCTGCATTGCAACACTTTTTATGTCATTGATCCATTTGTTATTCACAGTTACATAACCAGCACAGCATGTAGACAAATCGTTGTTTATATACCACAACAATACCCTAAAATACCGTGACCGCCACAAGCGCAGTGGGAAAAGCTCCTTACATCGACTGTACATATGGCGGTACGGAGATAAGGCAATGCACTGTTAATGAAAATAAACGTTGCTCTAAACTGTCATTGTCATGCTTAGACACCATGTCTCTTGATCTGGCTGATTGCGGTGTTGTCGGAAGCTTTCATCGTATGGTAGTGAACAAACCTAGGCACCAATCCAAATCGATCGCCCACAGATACTTCAACGCCCTAATCGATGACACCAGCAAGACCAGGTTCCCATTGTCTGGCGGTGCATCACACGCGAGAAACAAGATGTCCATTTATGGAGTTTTTGTGTAGTGAATGAACAGGTTTATGGGGAGATTACAGACCTCGTGATTAATCTGCTTTCAGATTTGAGTTCACAGACTGCGTTAAGAGAAAAGTTGAAACATTTAGAAGATGTTACCATTTAGTCATTTAAATGAAAGATTCGTGTTGTTTATGAGCGTGACAAGTAAGGATAAGATAAGATATATGGACGAACAAGTTCTTTTTTACAATTAAGAGCGACCGTTATCAAGCAAGTGAAGATCACCTTATGTTGATAATTATTTTTTTCAAGCTGATTTTTATAAAATACACATGTTTGTTTATGGCTTTATATAATCCATTTCAATTTAAAATATAAAGTTACATTTAGATTATACAGATAGGCTATCCACCTATGGGTCACATTAATTATTTCACCGTATTCAACAAATCGGTATTTAGTAACAGGTGACATAAATACTTTCATTCACTACCTATGCCTGGCTATATGAAATTCGATAACATGACATTCAAGAGTCATATTGTGTTTTTATGCCAGTATATTATTTATTAACCAACTTTACGACATGTATTGATCTAATGCATAATATCTCACAAGAATGGATCGTCAACTACACGTCGGAATATAGCCACGGGCCATATTTGTCTTATTGTGATGGGTGGAGAACATTCGGAATGTTGTATCATATTACGGCATAATGACAGCGTAAGTTAAGCATCTATTTATAAATGGTATAAATGCGTCCAGCGGAAAGTCCCGAAGCAGATTGACAAAACTAATCCGCATGCCCCAGCACTCTGATAATGACAAGCTTGTGCCTAGACTTATGATCTCATACCGTAGGCTGCCGTGTGTCATGTGACCCTCTCGGATTGACGCATGCGTTGTAGCGCTGTTATTTTGGGCGAGGCCAGTGCGTCAACGACTTGTAGAGAAATTCTGTGACTTTGGAGGCATTTCTAGCCACAAATCGCAAAAATGAGCGTGGATAAACCTCTTTTCGCGACTACGGTCGACGACGAGGACCGCAAGGCCGTTGTGAAACAAGAGTTTAAATTGTTTATTAAGGTATGTATAAAGACTTGTGCCGAACGAAAGTGGTGAACAAATTCATGGCGGTATTATATTGCGCCTTGGTGAGCACACGTTCAAAAGCCGGGCCTATTGAGCCCGCGTAGCATGTTTTCAGCGTCTCGGGAATAATATCACTCGTTCATGGAGTAGTCCAGAAGTTTCTGCTTATGCAGACGGTTAGCTTCGTCAAATGCGAAAAACATTGATTTACTGTGGGTTCGTCTGAGACCGCACTAGAGACGGGGCATGTAGTTAGCGTGATTCATTCGGCAGCAAATCTGTTTCTCGTGATAAAAATTTCCAGTTCGTAAGGATAGATTTTCAGGGAAATATTTGCTCATGCTGTTGATAATTTAGAACATGATGTATGATTCGAGATAACACGAGATCGTTAGTTTTAGTGGAGAAAGATATGGGACATGTTCGCCTGTGGAACAATGTTTCACTTCGTGGTGTTGGTCCAGAGCAGGGCGATATTTGGAGGGTATAGAAATACTGTCTTTACGTGGATTGTCAACTAACATCCTATCTGCGGTAGAAAGTTAAAAACATTTCAGTTCGCAGTGACATAGAAATAAGAATTGTGCTATGCCACTGGAATGATACGGATCATTGATCACGCGTAACGAATATAGAATCGTTTGAAAACTAGGCAGCTATCAAAATAAAGTTGCATAATGAAGTGTCAGTACAGGCTTTACATATTGATTGAATCACACATGTGATGTGCGTGCAAACACGTATTGAGCATTTCCCAATTAACCAATTAGGCCTACTAGATATCATGTTTATTCGCCCTCTTTCGCTGAGGTTGGGAATCAAATGCATAGTGTTCAAATTTTTAGAAGTGCGACTCTCTTTTACAATAAAAGATCTTAATGTTGCCAACAAGTTCATTATTGTGAATATCGTGAAGCAACAGAAAGGTTTGATAGCTGGAATGTCAAAGCAACATATGGTTGCATATTAAATAGATGAGTGTGATTCAATACAGTTAACATTGAACATTGTGTTAAGTGTGAACAATGACAGTGCCATCATTATCAGTGTCATAACACAAATATGTAACTTGCGTCTTGTTTGAAAGGTTCCAAAATGTTGCATGTGGGGTGTTAAAGTTTAACACTAATCATATCTTGCACACTCAGCTGTCACATTAACATGACCTACTTTTTTTTTCCTCCAGGCATCACAAATTGACAAAGAAACCCGTGGGTCCTGCCCAATATGTGAGCACTGGTTCATGATAGCATACCTTATAGCCCAGAAACAACCTGGGGTGAACTTTTCAGTTTTCACCGTGCAGGAAAATAGCCCTCCTAAAGAATTTGAGGGCTGGAGCAAGAAGTTCCCAGTGGTACTGTCAGTCAACTGCACAGACAAGAAGGGCCAAGACATTAGTGGGTGCATGTACGACAACTTCGAAGAGTTGGAAACCTTCTTCGAGAATATCAACCGCGAGTGCCCTGAGTTGAAGAGGCATAACAAGGAGAATGGCGATGCCATGTCCCGAGTAGATACCCTTTATGCTGTAAGTATGGCATGGCTATGTTCTCTTAGATAAGGGTCGAAAGAATTGGCGTCGAGTATGAATATGTACAATTTGCTGCAAGTTCTGGCTCCATGGAATAGATACTTCTATAAAATTGTAACATTATCTATAACTACATTATTAGTGGTGTAACAATACGGCATCACAATATTGTATCCTGATCGATTTACAACCCCTGTATCAAAATACATACAATACATTACATGTTATATTGGTGTAAAATATGTGAATAGCAGCATAAACTGTTCAACAACCATCTTACACAGATTCTCTAGTATTTCCTGGTTGGCTATAAATAGCGTAACATTCACAGAGCACTCGAGTCCATGTTTCTGCCACCCAGTATACCATCTTTGATCTCTGAAATTTAAAAAAATTGATTCATGGTTGAGATTGATCTGCATAAAGAAAGAATATCAATTTATGAAATAAAAGTACTGTATTGAATATGTATCATATCACAAACTCACCATACTGTTACATCTCTAATTAACATGAATTGGGACATTGTCAATTCCAATTATATTTTTTACTGACATTTGCTGCATACTTTGTGCCAAATATTGGCCTCTGTTTAGATCTAGATAGATCCCCCTGTATGTATTAGGTTGTGTTTGTCTGGTCTGTAGAAGTACTGTATCTCTCATGTTCTCTTAGGCTAATATATAGAAGTAGAAGTTGTCATTTAATTTGTCTGGGGCAATAAATACATATTCATTGGTTTTCAAAATTATGAATGGAAGTCAAGAGGTCCTTTACAGTGTCATAGCCCTAATGTTAAATATTATATTAGATTCTCTCGATTCAAATACTATTGAACAGAAAACAAAGGATGCCAGTAACAACCTAAATTTCTAACACTAATTCATGACTGTCAGTATAAATTATTTCCACTGACTGATTGATAGGAAAAATGTTATTCACATATTAAACATATTCAGTCAGAAATTTGACACTGGACTGGTTATTGGAGAGATTGGTGATTGTGAACTTGGCCCCCAAGCTTGTTTTGACACTGATGGCAACAAATGCCTGTGATGTGGTTTAACTAAACATTTACCCTCTAGTGCAAGGTCTATATTGGTTGTATAATGTAGGGGAATATAGTGATGCTTATCAGTTAGTGGCCACCATGTTGTTGGCGGCAGGTAATGAAGCACTTCCTTAGTCGGGTCACATTGAAAAAAGCCCACTGAAAAAATCATTTTGCATCCTTTGATTTGTTCTTTCTTTGTATATATACAACCCCCAAACATTTAATAAATGAAAAATTAATCCTACCCTGCTTCACGTAACTAGGTCACATTGCCTGCAACATATTTTTAATGATGACCTCAGGGTATGTTGGCAAGGAGACTGGGAGGTACTACTCTGAATATATACAGCTGACTACTGAACACAAACTTCACCTTTATGTCCTGAATGCAGCTCAGGCCTTAAAACAATTATGCACAAATTTCAACAATGTTGTCAGTTGTCTACATACTGTTTGATCATTTGGTTCAGGTTATTGCATAGGTTGAAAGTATATATTTAGTTATATTACCCAGTACGCTTCTCATGTATTCTGCGACTTTAGCTACTAGTCCAAAGCCTGAGTCCAGTTAAATTCTGTTTGGTCTAGTAAGCTCTGCTAATAATAGTCCATATACAACAATAAAACATACGGAAAATGATAAGAGCCATGTTTGGGCCATAGACTCACAAGATTTTGTCACAGACTGCATGCAGCAGATCACAGGTATAGTATTATTTCAAAGGTTCATCATTTAAGGTTTTGTTCTGCAAGGAAAGACCGGGGTTGTTTTCAGTGTCATGACCTCTGACACTTCTTTTCAAATTTAGATCACTACGCTGAATTTAGCAACTATGTAAAAAAAGTTCCAGTTTTTCAAGAATCTGCACCATTAATTTAAGATCATTCTGATGTAGTTTGCCTTAACTAATATGTGTAATGTTAGAGGTAGTTGAGAAAAAATAGTAGTAGTAGTATTATGATTATATTGGTAAAGTGTCAAACTGATCAGCATGATCAGATTCATCATATGTTGTGCTGGCAGGAGGAGACTGGCCTCCCAGTCCTGACTGACTACTATGCCCTTCAGTGTTCAGATCTGTCCATCTTCTAGGACAGTGACTGACTCATCCAAAATGTCATGAAGACTTCAAATTTCATAATGATGAAGAAGAATGTCCTATCAAGACTTGATATAAAATCATGAAAAGTGTTCTGATACCAATTGTCTCTGATTCACCGCCCTAGTATGTGACCTGGGGAAAGTTGAGGTGTATAGAACAAAACAAAGAGAGACTGTAGAGGCAACGAGAGATGGTAGTTCTCTTGTCGGGCCATGTAAATCCTGTCTAATGGTTACATTTTATGAGTCTGAGGTATCAGCACAGCCCTGCTTATCTTCCTTGACCTACAAACAGCCTTTCCTAGTGATGTAGGCATGAAGGCAGGCCTACTGTGACAGCCAGGACTTAAATGTATAGACCAGACCTTGATTTATCATGTTTTATAGGGGTAGCTTTGACTTTCTGATTCTGAACTATATCAAACTAGTGAAGTATTATTTGAAAGGTGGCAGGTTACAAGTATATTAAACAAAAACAGGGGACCCGACCATGAATATTTTTCAGCATATATTTTTTTGGAGTAAAGACTGAGCACACTGTTTCAAATAACAATATTCATGATCACTAACCTATTTTGTTCATTATATATTTCTCTCTTTCATAATCATAAATGCAAGTAATGTTTAGTGTCTGTATTTACTGATGCCTTATTTGGCTGTGGGGTGGCTTAATGATATACATTCACACATGCCAGTATTGACCTGGGTACACTGTGTAAAACCTATTCTTGGTGTCCCCATTGTGTGTGTTTGTTTGTTGTTTAACGCCACACTCAGCAATATTCCAGTTATATGATGGCGGTCTGTAAGTAATCAAGTCTGGACCAGACTAACCAGTGATTGACAACATGATCATTGATCCACGCAACTGGGATACGATGACGTGCATCAACAAAGTCAGCGAGCCTAACCACCCGATCCTGTTGGTCGCCTCTTACGACAAGCATAGTCGCCTTTTACGGCAATCCCCTGTTGTGATACTACTAAAAGCGACATAACACCACACTCTTGAGTGATCTATTGATGTGTAGTGAACCAGGCAACATGCAAGGAGTGGCAACATGTTCATATTCTCTGGGAATGCTGGCACTGATTACACACTTCTGGGGAAATGTTAGGGTGTCACACATTCCTTGAGTGTTACAATGAAATGAGTGGTACAGGAAACTGTCGTAAATTAATACAATTAAACTGTTCAGACCAGCTTTTCTTGAAGAACTGCTATCAGTTGTTGCTATGGCCGTGACCAGACTTTGTCATTAGCAACTATGTATATGTTTACAGAGTTTAAATTCGATGGCACAGTTAAAATAGCAAAGGAATGATTAAAATAATATCCTGCTGCTTCAAGGGCAAACTTAGAAATAATTCTTTTTACAGTACCTTGAGACAGTGTGTTTATTTGACATAACATACATGACAAACGCATGGAAAATAGTTAACATGCTTAATACTGAGAAGTTAACTTGGGCAATCAGAAATTATAAAGTCATAAAGTATTATCAGTCTTAATGAAAAGGAAGGCAGCCAATTTTCAAAATTAGGCTGCTTTTTATGACATTCATTGAGCTTGATAATGGATCAGATTTTTTCGTCGTGTTGCCACACTTTTATCTATTCCAATGTGTATGCTTCTAGAATTTTGTTTTTAGTGCCCTGGTTGACATTTGTGACAAGTTACTGAAAGACGAGGGTTACTGCATTAAATGTATATATATCATGGTTGGGGCTGACTTGCTCTTGTAATGTTATCAATACGATTGAAGTCGATACTTTCTTTGGAAATTCACATGAGTCAAGAAACTAATGACATGCATTATCAAGCTGTGAGCTGCCTCAACATGCTTTACTTGAAGCATTGACTGGAAATAAGAATCTATTTAGACATGTTAGAACCTCATTAAGTTAGACTATCCATTTCACTGACAGCAATATGGGGAAGTCCTGGGGCCCTTGAGGTTTTTGGCTTCTGTATATCTTTGGGTCCCTCCTAAGAAATGTTTTTTTAAGAATATGTTTATGATAGCTGTAGTACTGCATCCCCTCTTCTGTTGCTCGTTATGTATCAGTTTTTGAGGGCTACGGATAATCACACAGGTGAGTGTGCCAATGTTTGCTATAGGGTTTACAGCAAATTTCTACATTTCCGTTTGGCTACAAATAATTAGATATTGTAAAAATCTACATACTAATATCTTCCTTAAACACTTTTCTCCAAGAACGTATAATATCAGGATTCAATTTCGAAAATATATATTCTGAATTGCAGCCAGTCAGAGATGTAGAAGCGTGTACATCCTTCAGCACGCCTTGGCAGACCTTTTTTACGTGACGTTATGTATCTGTCAGTAGTGAGATATAGAAAAACTGACGTGAAGGGAACGGTACGGGGATACAGTAACCACAGCTGGGTTTATGACAACAGCCCTTTGACTTCCATGATTAATTTCAGGACAATGCTGAGGATGTGAACTGTGTACAGAATTAATGGGGGGTCCTGGGGTGCCTTAGGTCTTCTGGTATAGTATTTGAATCTACGGGGATTACAGCATTAGGGTTATGACATGGACCCTTTGACTTTCATGCCTAATTTCGAACGCTGTACAAATAACTGATTTGACAATGATTTGATAGATATAGCTTTTCAGGCAGAGCAAGACTAGAAAATAGATATTGTTGGCTTCCTGTTACAAAGGTTACTGACTGACTTAGCCTTTTTGATCATGCAAGAAAAGTCTTCCCTGTTTCTTTAAATTAATGTTTCACTGAACATGATGAAAGATGTGAGCATGGGTTGGTCGGGAAGGAAAGGGATTATTGTGTTCTAGAGTTGTTGTGGGACATGCTAATGTTTACTTTTGTTGTAATTTCAGACTCTCAATGGATTCCTGACAGGCCAACCAGAGACCAAATTGACGAAAGCTCTGAGAGCTTTAAATGAAGACTTAGACAACGGCAAGAAGTTCTTTATAGACGACATGCTGTGCTATGTTGATTGCCACTTACTGCCTAGGTTACAACATATCAAGGTGGCAACCAAGGTACGCTGGTCCTGAGCTGGGATAGTGATAACATTTAGACAAACTATTGAAATCGGCACATTGCCACTGTCAGGAATAATACCATTAACTTGATGGAAGGCTTGGGATGTGTCATGGTGTAGATGTACCATGTCACTCTAAGGTGCCTTACTTTTTGTCATTCAGGACATGTTGTATGATATGGCATTTAACAACTCACAAAATCAAACCCTTTGATTTTTTATTCACAATCTGTTATAAAATGCAGCTTTGTTTCAGCCGTCGTACACTTTTCACAAAAGTGGTAAATGTCTGAGATGCACCACTTTAGGCTTTGTACCCACATTAAACTGATATGCTGGGATAAAACTGCATTCCGGTGGTGGGGTAGCTTAGTGGTTAAAGCATTTGCTTGTCACACTGAAGACCAGGGTTCAATTTCCCACATGGGTACAATGTGTGAAGCCCATTTCTGGTAAACCCCACCCTGATATTTGTGGAATGTTGCTAAGACCATACTCACTCAAGATTTATGGCGAAAGAGACGATGATGTAGGTGTAGTATCACCATTCACCCGCTTTACTTTGTTTTCTGATTGAAATCTTTCAATTTTATTGCAGAGATATGCCGACTACAATATCCCCAAAGAATTCAAAGCAATTTGGAAGTTCTTGGCACATGCATACCAGCAGCCCGCATTCGTAGCTACCATGCCAAGAGACCAGGATATCATCTTTCATTATAAGAAGAAGGTGACTGCATTTCCACAAGTGAAAAATTCAACAATAGAAAAGTTCTCTTATGACATGTATGTACCTGAAGAAATCTTGGAAGAGATCAGGCTAGAGGATGATGGCAGTATGGAAAATGAGCAGGAACAAGAACAAGAACAGGAAGAAGTGGAACAAAACTCAGAAATGGAGGCCCAGCCTGATAACAATGGATTGGAATATTAAGTTCCGAGTGTGTGATGGAGACAGACTATTGGGTGTGATGGGAGGGAATTAATGGTGTGCAGACAGTGCAGGCTGGGCTGGTGACCCTCGGTTGTTCCGGCCGGTCAGGGTATGCCAGCTTGACACCATTCTCCTGAATGCGCATGTTATCTTGGAACTGACATGGAGACGTTTGTGGAAAGCGAATGTTAGTTTAATTATCTACCCAGATGGAACATAGTGGCATAGTCATAATGATCAGGGGACAGGTGGACCATTGTTACCGTTGCCGACGGTGTTGATAGTCTTCAGATCTATCCTTGATTACAAGAGTTCATATCCTTTCAGAAACATGTCATTATGTTGGACGCACAGTACAAAATTTGCGGGATAATTCTTGCTCTATGATACAGGACCAAATGTAATTTTGCAGGTCTTTTGCTCACATGTTAAAAACACCTACACTTGCGGACCAGTTTACAGGAGAGTATATGTTGATTAGTTTTTGTCATGGTGCTTCTGTTCCCCTCATCAATGTTTCCTTTGTTGAACCCTTGTTTATTTTTAGGAAGGCAACTGTCAATCTGGCAGGATTGAAAACCAGTCATGGGAGACAACTCCTTGAACTTGTAATTCTGATACTTTTGAACAGTATTCTGGAACAATTTATGATCAAATTATGTGTAGATATGACACTGATGAATTCATACAATAAAAATATTTACAAATTGATTGGTAATTGTTTCATGAATAAGATATTTCGATTCGTAGCTGATCCTCTATGGGGCGGATCCATCTTTACCATACACAAGACATGTATAGCAATTGCTAAATGATTAAGTACAACGTATAACTATATATTATGAATCAAAATGGCTGGCATGTACAGAAATGTAAAAATGTCTGTAACCACCCAAGTAGTTTTACCCAGCCACGGCTGTAGAAAGGACATTTTTACTGGAGCAATTATGGTAAAATTAGCTATTTTGTTAACAGAAGTTTGTCATTCACATCTTCATGGTTTGTGCTAAAGGTGTTTATGGGATAAAAATTGGCCTTAAATCGTTATTACTATATGCAGTCCGACATGCCTTGGCTTCTGTCTGTTCTATATATGTGACTGTACCAACGTTTAACCTGGACCAAATTAAAGTATTTTGTATATGTGTATGTGAAATAGGCTTCATGGTAATTTTTGTCCATGTTCTTTATGTCTGAACACACTTGGGCACAAGGATACAAATTTGTTCATGATATCCTATTTTATCTGAGTCAGGGTATTAAAACTTCTGGCAACCCTGGTATGCCATTGAGGCTGTAGAAGGGTTCCATCAAGTCATGCAATGAATATTCTGGAGTGTTTGAAAATAATTTGATAAAACAAAGAATTGGGACCCTATCTGCAGCCTTGAAGTCTGTTGACTAAGGATAAATATGCCCCCTCCCCTCCTGTTGATAAATAGCTTGTCATAATCAGACATCATTCTGTCTTGGTGTATCCGACATGTTACAAAAAACTACTTTTACAATCAGTTTCCTATAAACAAGAAAATGTTGGATATGGTGACTCAATTGAGGGTCAGGAGGAGTGTGTTTGATTTATAATTTATTACAATTGTTCATGATCAGCTCTATGAAACATAACCACAAATTGCCTTGTCCTGACCCTGTGTAATCTGAAAGAGAAGTTTGTGTTTCAGTCTCTAATGAACATAGTGGAAATGTACAAATACCTGTCTTCCCTTTCACTAGGATTTGTTTATTACTCACTACTTTGAAATGAAGTCATGCTAGCATCTGTGTATTGTGTGCAAAGATTTCCATCTATTCACATTTTGCAAATGGCAGGAGCTATTGTCTTATAGTTAACCAGACTGAATAAGCTTCTCAACCATATGTTCAGCCTATTGTGTACGGCTTCTGCAGAATTTGGTAACCGACAATACTGGTAATTATTTTTGCATAGGAAATCTAGACAATATATGGTGAGGAGTCTCAGCCTTGTACCTGATCTCTGATTATTTTGTTTGTTCAGCAAAGTTTGTGATATCAGAACATATTTGTCCTTCAGTCTTTGCCATTCACAAATTTTTTATCAACATATTTCCTGTCTTTATTATTAAAATTCCTGTGTTGGACCAGTGCACGCATTGTACATCTTGGATGAAGCAGGATGGATCAGATGCTGTATTCTACTATAGCTTTGTTATATGTGCATTTATTGTTTGGTACATAATACTACTAGTAGTCTGATAACCCGACTACACCAAATCGCCATATACACTGATATCTTGGATGTCGATAAGCACGGCTTTGTAACATTCAGTCATTATATAAGAAATAAAATTACTCAAATCAAGCAGTATTGTTGTTTTCTGTTGGCCATCAACATGCATCTCTGGTTGGAAGTTGACAGAACATTAAAATTTTGGTACAGAACTTGTCAGACAAGAAGTGATATTCCGAGTGAGGAAACACATGGAATTACAACTAATAAATCCTGAAACAACTTGCCTGTTAATTTTGTTGATGTCAAATGATTTAGCCACTTGATTAAATGCTTAAAGGTGTATGCTCAATATCTACTGAAACCATGAGAAGCCTAACAAAGTCTACAATTGTTAAAGTGTTTTTAATTTTATTTTTCAACCTTATCTCCCTGCTTTTCAAAACCCTTTCACCCTTTTGAATTTGAAGAAAATCCTTCTCAATTAGCTCTAAATTTTCTCTGACATTGTCAGTCCTTTTTTTCCAAAAGATCAGATTTTAGAAACTTGTGCACCCAACGAGCAGATATCTTATTCATCTGTAAATGTTCATGAATAATAGTTTCAATGGATCCATGGCTTTGACCTGGGTCTTCCTTAAGTTCAACAATGGTAATACGTGTATCGCATCTATCTGAAAGTCTGACACATCTCCTTGATTGAATCTTCATTGATGGAAGTTGAGGGACGGCCAGACCTAGGGTCATCATCAAGGCTTGTTCTCCCAGCCTTAAACATAGCTGCTTAACGTTTAACAGTGGAATAGCTAGGGCCCTTATCTCCATACACTTGTGACATGCGATCATTAATTTTATGGGGAGCACTTTTCTCTAAATTAAAAAACTTGATGACTGCTCGGAACTCATTCTTTTCCATTTCTGTGTCCATTTGGGCCCCTATCAGTTCAACTGGCTGTCACTAATATATAAAGGGCCTCAACAGACCAATACACTTGCAATGAATTACTCAAATAATGTACTACATTGACTAGTTCACTTTGTTACAGCCCATAGTTGAAAGTTAGTCAGGCTTAGAACTTTTTTACCAGTCCTCGTAGCATTTCGAGCCATGGAAGACCATGCTGCTAATCTCAAGACATGACACAAACATTTTAAAACCAAATTTGCACTGAATGTTTTTATTTTCAGAAATGTTTAACAAAAAACGTATACAATATTGTTTATTGTAAAATTCATTAGCATAGAGATTAAAATTCCTTAAATAACAATAAAACATTAATGGTATTGTAACAGCAGCAACATTTGGAATGGTATATTCAACCTGTCCAACCCATTTACACCATTGGAAGTTTCTGTGAACAGGGTTATGGTCAAAGGGAAGTAACTCTGTGATGCAACCACAACTGGAGACCGATATTGGAGATATTTCAGTCTTGTGACAAGATCATTACTTGATAGGACGTGACCAATTTTGCATAAGTGTTATCTATAGATGTTTTGGCCTGTATTCTATGATTGTGCAGGAAGCACAAACATAATACTTGAAATATGAACAGAGCCACAAGTGTTGAAAATATGCATACTTTCAATCCAAACAGTTGTCTGTTATTTTCTTTTTCTTTCTTTTTTACTTTGACAAATTTAGAGCAGGTTCTTACACAACACAACTTTAAATGTAACACTTTATATCATGTCGCTATCTTGTAAATGTATAACATATTGACAATTTTCCATTTTCCTCAAAATTGCTTTTGCACTAAAACAGAACAATTAACAAGCGTTAAAATAGCGTACTTTCAACCCAAACAAACGTCCACAGTATTCATGTTTTGCTTCATTTGTAGGTTCATCAATAACAAATACAATCGTAGTTTAGCATATCTACATGGTAGATATCTATAGTATACTCCTGACAGGTTTGTGCTGTAGTGCAACCATCAGTATGAACGGTTCAGATCACATTCTTAGATTCAGACAAGTAATATCACAGTCTTAATGGACGGAGAAAGCTATCACAAACACCCTGAGCAAATAAATTGTGAAACTCTCTACTGCTATTTGTTAACATTGGTATTTAAAAACTGTCACCCTTGAGTTGAACATCAATTTTTAATATAAGGTATACAATGCCATACAATATCTTTTGTTCCTTTACTAAAGCCACAATCAGGTATATTCCAGCTATTTCAATGCATCCAGTTAATGCTCCAAATTGGACCAGGAAAAACAGTGGTTGATATTATGAGCAATGCCCAAGCCATTCTGGGAACAATGACACGCAACCAACCAAGTCATTGAGTCTAACAACCTAATTTGGTTTAGTCTCTTATTCTAACCAAAGTCTCCAGGGTGTGAAACACTTCTTTCTGGACATAGAGCAAGGATAGAATATTTGGAAGAAAATAATTGTCTGTTGAAAAAAATAATTTTAAAATGTGAATGTTTGAAAGAGGGATGAAAGATTCCAGACCAGCCTAGACCAGCCTAGACAATAACATGCCAGTACTTTCATGTCCTTAGAGGAAACAAAGCTTGGGTTCCAACTTGGGTACCCGGGTCGGGTGGATACTGAGAAGGACCCGGGTACCCATAGAACTACCCGGACCCATGGTTGGTCATGTGATATATTGTTTAATGACAAAAATTATCTTAAACTCTATGGTTATACTATAAGTCAGTAATGTTCGCATTTCTTTCTGTCTATGCACCAAGACTTTGATATGTTTGAATAAAGATAAAACTCCAGTCAACTTCAGTGTATGCATGTCCAGATCGATTCATACATGTATCTAAATACGTTTTGTCCAGGGCTACAGTCAAACTATTCCCAATCGGACTTTTTGTACCTATCTCTTGAGACCAACAGCAGGTACCCGGGTAGGGTCGGGTAATAGGTGGGTGGGTACCCGGGAAGTAAATTTGGACTCGTCCCAGCCCTATTCCAAGGGGCCATCTTTGGTGTTGTCAGTTCACATGATGCACTGTAGTAGGAGGAGCAGTGACAGTAGTACAAGACTTCTTCAGCCACTAGGAATCTTCCCCACACTTCTTCCAGCTTGGTGCCGCCATCATGACTGACAAATACTTCAGTCTTAAGGAGGTCAGTTTTCAGCCTGTTGAAGTCCCTTTGTGATGAAATCCAAGGAAGTTTTTTTGGAATAACAGCTGTCCTTACCATCAGATGTCAAGGTTCCTGGGCACTGTCACAACTGCCGGAGACTGTCACACGCTCTGTCACACGCTCTGTCACACACTCTGTCACACGCTCTGTCACACAACCACTCACACACTCATGGTCACTGTCACTCACTCAGAGCTCCAGATAAGCTTTTGGTGTTGTGGGTATTTTACCCATGCATTTTAAAATCATTGGGTATCTGTAATTCTATCTGGGTATTCAAATTTCTGTTACCCACTAGTTTTTACACATGAGGGTATTTAAGTTAAATACTTAAAAACACTATTCATCTTGTCCCTGCAAACTAGTGTTGTGTGGGTTCGAGAGCTTTATAGGACTAAAAAAACCCACGATACTTCCACAAGAAAGTGTGATGGCAAATGATCATGATGTAACTGTCATCGTGGAGTTTGGCAAGGTTGACGGAATGCCCGTTTATAATTTCAAAATAAGTGGCTGATTTGCTAATCAAATACGCAGGGTTACTTCACAATATTTTGATGATACCCACAAGTTTTATTTTTGTAGCGTATCTGTAATGTTCGTGGCGTATTTGATACGCTTGGATTTGATTTTACTGCATATTTCTGCATTTCTGATGCATATTTTACTCAGATACGCAGCTTATCTGGAGCTCTGCTCACTACCTCTAGCCATCACTCAGTAAAGATGTCAGTTCCTCTTTCAAACACGTGCTAAAATATTGCTGACACCAGCACCATCTCAATCACACACACAGTCTCTCTTTTATTTTCCCTTTTCTTTGAAGTATTCAGCTGCAAATGAAAACCAATGAAAATGTTACAATACATTACAAAGTTAGGTTAGACTGTTTCCCTATTAAAAAATAAATAAATATAAACACAAAATCTGAGGTGGTCTAATTTATTCCTTATCCCTTGTGTTGTTCTGAATGCAGAAAAACCTCTGGACACATTTATGTTATGAAATTTTGGGGATAAAAATTCAAATTATGTTTTATGTATGTTTGATAGTTAATGGTAAGATCAGGAGTACCCATATTTTTAATGACTGATAATTCCAAACATTCATCTCATAATATTTCAAGACCTTGCATTGTAATGTTGAAAACGATGAAACCACAAAGATTTACCACAGATTTTTTCATAATCTGACAACACATTCTGACAATGGTCCCTGGTAACACTGATACTGTTTGCTCATAGAGGCGTAGTAACATTTAAGTGACTGTTGTTTTATGCCAAAGTCAGATTTGTCATGGCAGCCTGTAGATAATCAATCAGGGTCTGAATAACTAGTGGTTGATAACATTAACAATTGTTTTTTTTGTTTAAGGCCGCAGTCAGCAATATTCCAGCTATATGACGTTGGTCTGTATAAATAATCGAGTCTGGACCAGACAATCCAGTGATTAATATCATATATCAATATATGATTTCTATATTTTAAATGTTGTCATTTAGCATTTATGTTGAACAAACAAACATCTTTGCCAAGATTTTATATATATTTTTTATTTGTTTGTTTTTTAACGCCACACTCAGCAATATTCCAGCTATATGAAGCCGGTCTGTAAATAATCGAGTCTGGACCAGACAATTCAGTGATTAATATCATGATCATTGATCCACGCAATTGGGATCGATGACATGCATCAGCCAAGTCAGCGAGCCTGACCACCCGATCCCGTTAGTCGCCTCTTACCACAAGCATAGTCGCCTCTTACCACAAGCATAGTCGCCTTTTACAGCAAGCATGGGTTCCTGAAGACCTATTCTACCCCGGATCTTCAAGGGTCCATAAACAATTAATTGATTCACACCATGATCTTAGCGCTGTTAGTTTGTGAGAATAGTTGTTGCAACAGTCAAAGGTGACACTTCTTTGTAATGGGTCGACATTGTAACTGAGTCGAGATCACATTTGTAACAGAGTCGAGATCACATATTGTAACCAACCGATCCTCATTTCAGTCCACTTTTACAACAAGCATGAGGTACTGACAACCTATTCTGTTGCAGGATCTCAACTGGGGAACATTTGCGATAACATGAACAGTTAATTAACTTCCACACAACCTTACCTAGTTTCTCCACGGCCTCCACACAGACGCTGGCGAACATGTTCTCAGTGTACGTGGCCACGAGTAGGAGGGAGACAGTCTTCACCAGGATCAACCCTTTCTTGTGCTGAGGGCAAACAAGGGAGGTAAGCCAGGATCAAGTGATAACAGGGCAGGTAAGCCAGGATCAAGGAATAACAGGGGAGGTAAGCCCGAGGCGTGTTCAGGAGGGCGTGCGACCGCGCGGGAGTACAGTGAGGCAATATAAAACGCCTTTCTGAATGGGAGGCGCGTACTCGCTCTCGCTCTCGCTGCACAGCATCCAAAATGGCGTCACGGGGGATCAAAACATCCCTGTCCACAAGTGTCATAGGTTCACACATTTAATTTCATCACAAGTTTGATATGTTCATACTTTGATGTTCGTGATAACAAAGTGTTTATTTTTATTATTAGTAACATGTCCCTGTGCTGGACCAGACAATCCAGCAATCGTCATGAGCATCGGTCTGTGCAATGCATGCATCACCCACGGACGTATATACGTCTTTGCATCACCCAAGTCAGCGAGTCTTATCACTCGATCCTTACGGCAAACTTATGGGTTGCGGAAGACCTATTGTCTGCAAAAATAACTTTTTGATGGTAGATCTCGTCTAAAAGATTATTCTTTTGACATCAGTTCCATTCTCGTCAAAGGCAAAGATTTGTTCAACGTGAGACGCCATCTTGGATTACGAGGCAAACTACCTCTCGGGCTAGATCGCGAGTACACGCGTGCGCTTGCGCGGTTAGCCGTGTTCAACAGCGCGCGCTCGCGTAATATCACTAGCACCCGCCCTCCTGAACACGCCTCAGGATCAAGGAATAACAGGGGAGGTAAGCCAGGATCAAGAGACAACCATTGAATCTTCAGCTGTGATTATCTCTACAGTTCATACGTTATCGTCTGGGCAGGTTAAGCCAAAGTAGAAATCAACATATTAACAAACTATACCAGTTTCAGACTTTGGACACTATATACGGAAGCCTGAATCAAGGCAAAAAATGTTTGGGTAAGTAGATGGGGTTATATGTGATCATAGACTAAGAACAGCTGAAAAGAAGGCCTCAAAATGAAATGGCACAGCCTGGTATTCAGTCGGTTTACACAGAAAAGATTCCCAAAGATATACAGTGGTACTTCCTGGATAAAATACTGGAGATATCAGATATTACTCACTAGGGCTGGGACGAGTCCAAATTTACTACCTGGGTACCCAGCCCCCTATTACCCGTTCTTACCCGGGTACCCACTGCAGGTCTCAAGAGTTGGGAACAAAATGTCTGATTGGTAATTGTTTTACCGCAGCCCTGGTTAAAATTATTAAGATACATGTATCAAATGATCAGATCATGCGTTCACTGAAGTTGACAGAAGCTTTATCTTTACTCAAATATATACAAACCAAAAGGAATGTGTGCATTGTCAGAAAGAAATGTAAAAATTAGCGACTTGTAGTGTAACCACCGAGCTATAGTGAGTTTTGTCATTAAACAATATATCTCGTGACTAACAATGGGTCTGGGTAGTCCTGTGGGTACCCGGGCCCTACTCAGGACCCCCCCGACCCGAGTACCCGAGTTACCCGAGCCCTATTACTCACACATTTGGCATATATTGAGTTCTTGTCAGCTCGCACACACTTGTACTGCTTGTCATCGAAGTAGATGCCCTCCTCACGAGTCTGAGGGGGATTCTTGAAGGCATCCAGCAGCATCTGCACCTGGTCCGGGTACAGCTGAGGGGGGAGTAGAGGATGAGTGTTAGTGACAACCTCCAGGGAGGGAGTGCGCATGGTTCAACACCGAACAGTATTTCAGTGACATCACGGTGTGTCAGCTTCATGTGGGAGGAGAGTCCGAAGTGATCCAGGTCTTAGATGTTTGTCACTTTGGTTGAACACATGAGTATGATGCTGACAAACCCAGAAAGTTTGTTTGTTGTTTAACGCTTGCTATATGATGACGGTCTGTAAATAATCAAGTCTGGACCAGACAATCCAGGAATTGATATCATGAGCATCGATTTAGGCAATTGGGATACAATGACATGCGAGAACCAAGTCATTGAGCCTGAGTTAGTCACCTCTTACAGCAAGCATGGGTTGCTGAAGGTTCTAAAAGGTTCCCAGATCTCAAACCTAGAAAGGGACACAACTCTGACCGAGCCACCCCTGTCCTCCCAGGGAGTGAAATGGGACAAAACGTATGAGAGACGAAATGGCCTTTGGGAACCACCACATATTGGATAATGGGGGAAAGTAGTGGATACAAACCCATGCAGTCTTGATGATGGTGGGAGGAATCTGATTAAACTCAGATCAAACACAGATACATCTCATGCAGAGTGAGTGAGTTAGGTTTAACGCCGCTTTTAACATGATTCCAGTCATATCACGGCGTATCAGCTTAATGTGGGAGGAAAGCCCGAAGTGATGCAGGTCTCAGACGTTTAGCACTTAGGTGAAACCCACAAGCACAGGTATGGTGCTGACAAACCTAGAAACATAACCAGGGCGAACCGGGATTCGAACCCACAAGCATAGGTCTCTGGCGTGCCCAAGGGACGCAACTCTGCACAACGAATCACGGCACCTTAGACGACTGGGCCACAATTCCCCTCCGATTTTGAAGGGATTTCCTTTAGGGGACATTTAGGAACAAATTGCAGATGAAGGCTTAACAGTACATATGTTTTAATGGCTATCGTTGAGTAGAACTAAAACTATGGGTGAACAATTCTATGGAATCAGACCACTGTGTGTATTCCTAATATCAATATAACTGTGAGTACTTGTTAGTGTCTTACATTGAAGCCAACAGAGCTAGCCCTCACGGTGCAGTCCTTGCGGCGGACGATGGCGCACTGCTGCACATGATCGGTGGAGATGAGGGCGTCATGGAGCAGGTTCTGCAGCTGGTTCATCTTGACAGCATCCTGCAATATGAGGGGGGTTGTAGCAGATGATGATGAACACAGCCATGACAGCACTTGCTGCCTGCATGGCCTGAGAGTCACATATATGGCACAGCACTATGCACCAGTTCTCTACATCTACAATAGTCAATAATGAACAGTCCTCTGGGATTTTGGAGACAGAATATGTTTGTATGATCACTGCTTCAAGACATGCAATTTGTTTTTCTCGGACAGCTGCAAAACAATTTTTTAGGGGACGGGGGTAGGGGTGCACCAAAATGCATTTCTTTCTACAAATTTAAGTGAATACGGTATACGACGTAATAAGCGCCCCGCTCTAATAAGCACCCACGGCGATATTTGCCAATATATTGGCTAGTGAACAATCACAATTAGCACCCTTCTGACTGATCAATGTACACAATTCGTGTACATTTATTCGTGTATAATACACACTCGTGTGTTATATGCACCCTTAATTACGGGCAATTAAATTCTAGAAAAATATATCTGTCGTGTATAATATGCACAGACTTTTCTTTTGTATCATTTCAGGCTGTCAGCACAAGCTGTAAAATTTCACCAAAATTATATTCTAATAAGAACCCTTATTTCTAATTTTGAGAGTGCCCTGGGAGCTTATTACATCGAATACGATATGCTTTGTTTTGTAATACCTGAGGCAAATAGATTTTCTTGTCAGTACAAAATGACTCCGGGCTTATGTTTCTTGTAATAATGCTTTTGTGAAATTCTCCTGCTTAGACGAGATGAATTATTTAGTCACCTCATGACCCTGAATGGGCTTGACTGACTGTTTAGTGAGTTGGTTTAATGCCGTTTGAACAGTATTCACTTATATCACTGCGTGTCAGATTGATGTGGAAGGAAAGCTTGAAGTGATGCAGGCCTCAGAAGTTTACCACTTTAGTGAAACCCACGAGCACGGGTATGGTGCTGACAAACATGGAGACATAATCGGGGCGAACAGGGATTCGAACCCAAAATCATAGGCTCCTTGCGTGCCCAAGGGAAGCAACTCTGCACAGTGAATGGTGGCGCCTTAGACAACAGGCCCACTTACGTCACCTGGCTTTAGGGTCACCCTGTAACATTCATGCAAGATCTGCTTTTTCACCTGTTTGAATCCCATAAATAAAGGTTTTGTGCCAACAAATCAAGGATAGCAATCCAGGTAAATCTGGCCTCAATCTACTCACAACCAGTGTTCTGTTTTTGTTTGTTTGTTGTTTAACATCGCACTCAGCAATATTACAGCTATATGACTGCAGTCTGTAAATAATCGTGTCTGGACCAGACAATCCAGTGATTGACATCATGAGCATCTATCAACAGAATTGGAATACGATGACATGCATCAACCACGTCAGCGAGCCTGACCACCCTATCCCGTTAGTCACCTCTTACGACAAGTATAGTCTCCTTTTACTGCAAGCATGGGTTGCTGAAGACCTATTCTACCCCAGAGTCTTCCCGGGACCACAACCAGTGTATCCCAGCAGACAAGGGGAATAATTCTGCACACCATGTTGCATGACTAAGATTTAAGGTTTCAACACTGCTTCCGTATTATGCATTATAATTAGTAGTATATTGTTAAATGAGAATATTTGACAGAAGATCAAGTTTCAAGTTCTGGCGCAATGTCAACCAATATCCACTATACATGGTGAATTTGTCATGGACCGGTACAAAGCCCCCATCTCACGCCATGTACTGATGTCAACAAGCATCAGTTCCATGGGGAAATAGTTCTATCATGGACAAATAGCACCAGAGGGAATGTATCATGGTATCAAGTAAAACCTGTTACTTTAGAAATAAACGACGAGTGGGAGTTGGATATCATATATTATAGCCAAAATGGATAGGATTATGATTAAACCGTCCGCATGGTATCAGAAATGAGCGGGCCACTGTAACTTGATAATGCCCTTCCACCACATCAATAGTGAACTATCGCCTGTACCATGGAGAGACGGAGCACTCGGTTTGAACTACCACCACATCAATAGTGTCAACTGTCACCTATACCATGGAGAGATGGAGTACTTGGTTTGACCTACCACATCAATAGTGTCAACTGTCACCTATACCATGGAGAGATGGAGTACTTGGTTTGACCTACCACATCAATAGTGTCAACTGTCACCTATACCATGGAGAGATGAAGTACTTGGTTTGACCTACCACATCAATAGTGTCAACTGTCGCCTATACCATGAGAGATCGAGTACTGTTGATGCTGTGGTAGGTAGTGTGAACTGTCGCCTATACCATGTAGAGATTGAGTACTTGGTTTGACCTACCACATCAATAGTGTCAACTGTCGCCTATACCATGAGAGATCGAGTACTGTTGATGCTGTGGTAGGTAGTGTGAACTGTCGCCTATACCATGTAGAGATTGAGTACTTGGTTTGACCTACCACAGCATCAACAGTGTCAACTGTCACCTATACCATGGAGAAACAGAGTACTTGGTTTGACCACATCAATAGTGTCAACTGTCGCGTATACAATGTAGAGATCGAGCACTTGGTTTGACCACATCAATAGTGTGAACTGTCGCCTATACCATGTAGAGATTAAGTACTGGGTTTGACCTACCACCGCATCAATAGTGTCAACTGTCACCTATACCATGGAGAAACAGAGTACTTGGTTTGACCACATCAATAGTGTCAACTGTCGCGTATACAATGTAGAGATCGAGTACTTGGTTTGACCACATCAATAGTGTCAACTGTCGCGTATACCATGTAGAGATTGAGTACTGGGTTTGACCTACCACCACATCAATAGTGTGAACTGTCGCCTATACCATGTAGAGATTGAGTACTTGGTTTGACCTACCACAGCATCAATAGTGTCAACTGTCGCCTATACCATGGAGAAACAGAGTACTTGGTTTGACCACATCAATAGTGTCAACTGTCGCGTATACCATGTAGAGATTGAGTACTGGGTTTGACCTACCACCACATCAATAGTGTGAACTGTCACCTATACCATGGAGAGATTGAGCACTTGGTTTGACCTACCACCGCATCAATAGTGTCAACTGTCGCGTATACCATGTAGAGATTGAGTACTGGGTTTGACCTACCACCACATCAATAGTGTGAACTGTCGCCTATACCATGGAGAGATTGAGTACTTGGTTTGACCTACCACCGCATCAATAGTGTCAACTGTCACCTATACCATGGAGAAACAGAGTACTTGGTTTGACCACATCAATAGTGTCAACTGTCACGTATACAATGTAGAGATCGAGTACTTGGTTTGACCACATCAATAGTGTCAACTGTCGCGTATACCATGTAGAGATTGAGTACTGGGTTTGACCTACCACCACATCAATAGTGTGAACTGTCGCCTATACCATGGACAGATCGAGTACTTGGTTTGACCTACCACCACATCAATAGTGTCAACTGTCACCTATACCATGGAGAAACAGAGTAATTGGTTTGACCACATCAATAGTGTCAACTGTCGTGTATACAATGTAGAGATCGAGTACTTGGTTTGACCACATCAATAGTGAGACCTGTCGCCTTTACCATGTAGAGATTGAGTACTGGGTTTGACCTACAACCACATCAACAGTGAGACCTGTCACCTATACCATGTAGAGATCGAGTACTGGGTTTGACCTACCACCACATCAATAGTGAGACCTGTTGCGTATACCATGTAGCGATCGAGTACTGGGTTTGACCACATCAATAGTGAGACTTATCGCCTATACCATGTAGAGATTGAGTACTTGGTTTGACCTACCACCACATCAATTGTGTGAACTGTTGCTGGTTCCTCTTCACTCTCCGACATTCTGGAAGGATCCTGCTTCAAACTACACCTCAAACCTTGACATGAGAATCAAGTATTCAGCTGCTACTGTCCCTCTTGCAGGTAGCTGTGCATTTACAACACCTGTTGTATAAACCAGTCCACCCAGTATCACAACCACCTGTTGTATACATGAGGCCTCACAGTAGGGACAAGTACATTCAGGCAGGTAACAGAATGGGGAAATGGCAGTTGAGAAGAATAACCGTCACGATTAATGTTGTACCTTCACCAGCACACACGGGTGAAACTCATTGAGATTTGTTCACGACCTGCGACATACCCAATATGTCATTTGTTACAATCACTACTGATTATAACTGGGGACATGGCACCAGAATGTCAAATGACCAACAGGACATGCCATAACACATTGAACGAATAGTCTATCAGTGATTCCTGACGCCACCACAACACCTGAACAGGTGAGTTAACGAGTCGGTGAGTTACCTGTTGTGATAACAGGTATCAAATTCATGTCATGTGTCACTGACTGAGAGCTCACAACTTGGCAATATTCGGGGCCAGTCGTGGTGATACCAGGTCCAGGGTCACAGTGAAAGTACCTGCTGTCAGAGGATGTGAAAGGGTGCTTTAATAAAGCACCGGATATGACAGGGGTCATTTAGAAGAAGTGACAGAAGTAGTTCATATGATTTCAATAATCTAAGAGTTGTCATTTAGCATTTAATGTTGAACAAACAAACATCTTGCCAAAATATTTGTTTGTATTTTAACACCACACTCAGCAATATTCCAGCCATATGAAGCCAGTCTGTAAATAATCGAGTCTGGACCAGACAATCCAGTGATTGATATCATGAGCATCGATCCACGCAATTGGGATCGATGACATGCATCAACCAAGTCAGCAGCCTGACCCTCCGCTCCTGTGAAGTGTAGGTTGTGGGGGTGGAATGGGGCCATTTAGAGCAGTGTTGTGGGGTTTGGGGTCTGGGCTGTCACGTGTGGGTTTTGGAGTTTGGAGTGTGGAATGTGGAGCATGGATTGTCGGATGTGAATTATGGCTGTGGTGCATGGCTTGAGGGGTGTGTTGTGTGATGTGTGGGTTGTTGGGTGCGAAGGATGTGTTGAGGGGTGAGTAGTGGAGAGCATAGACCATGGGGCGAGAGATGTGGAGAGTGGGGTGAGGGGTGTGGGGTGTGGGGTGTGTCGTGTTTCGTGTGTCATTTGGAGCTTGGGGTTAGGGGTCAAGGGTGGAGAGTGGAGTGCTGAGGTGTGGAGCATGGGGTGTGTGGTGACGAGAGTGGAGAGTGGAGTGTGGGATGGAGGGGGGCTGTGGGTTGTGGGGTGAGGAGAGTGGAGTGTGGAATGGAGGGGGGCTGTGGGTTGTTGGGTGAGGAGAGTGGAGTGTGGGATGGAGGGGGGCTGTGGGTTGTGGGGTGAGGAGAGTGGAGTGTGGAGTGTGGAATGGAGGGGCGCTGTGGGTTGTTGGGTGAGGAGTGCAGGGTGGAGGGTGTGAAATGTGGTTATAGAGTGGAGTAGGGTGTAGGATGTGTTTTTTTGTTTTCTGTTGTTGTTTCTGGCGTGTCAGTATTAATATCCTAAGATGATTTCATACTTTCATTTACGATAGTCTGAGGGATTTGAGTACATTCAAACTTCCAAACAGATAAGACAACCAACAAGATGGCAATAAAATTGTGCCTAAACGCTACAACACCACATTGTGTGAGTGTCACTAACTGACAGCCATAAATATCACCAGCTTACAAGATCTAGTCATGTAAGCCCTCACAGATAGACTTGAATAATACACTGTAACTATACAAGGACTTAAATATACATGTACAAATATGAGTGAGTGAGTGAGTATGGTTTTACGCCGCTTTTAGCAATATTCCAGCAATATCACGGCGGGGGACACCAGAAATGGGTTCACACATTGTACCCATGTCGGGAATCGAACCCGGGTCTTCGGCGTGACGATCGAACGCTTTAACCACAAGGCTACCCAACCGCCCCGTTTCAGTTTGTAAAAGTACATATGCACTGTCGTGTTGAGTAATAAAAATTTGATGCAATTCTCATCCAATGTAGACTCATTTATTTCATATTGGTTCAAAGATCTAATTCACCGATTTTACCATGACACAGTTCATTACTGATACACCATTTGGACACAATAAATCAGCGTATTTCATCCCCTTCCGCCTCGCATCACCCTGCCCCACATCATGTTATCTTTATTCCCAACAACCTACTGAAGACTATTGCTGAGTTCACTCTTTCTTTATGCAATGTGTATGTGTTTGTTGTTTAACACCGCACTCGGCAATATTCCAGCTACACGGTCTGTAAATAATCGAGTCTGGGCCAGACAATCGAGTGATTGACATCATGAGTATCAATCCACGCAATTGGAATACTATGACATGCATCCACCAAGTCAGCCAGCCTGACCACCCGATCCCGTTAGTCACCTCTTACAACAAAATTGTTGCCTTTTAGAGCAAGAAGTGGTTGCTGAAGACCTATTCTATCCCAGACCTCTCGGGTCCAGTCCACTGATTGACATCATGAGCATCGATCTACACAAATAGGATTCTGGGGTAGAATAGGTCTTCAGCAACCACTTCTATCCTAATTGCGTGGATCAATGCTCATTATGTCAATCACTGGATTCATTCATGCTCCATCACATCCATCAAAGGCAGCGGATGCCTTGAACCGAATGTCTTAAAAAATACAATACAAAAAATAAAATGCCACCGCCTCACATATTTGAACAATTGAATAATAATCTAATAATTATTTTATTGTAGCATAACTAACTCAATATATAATATGAACTACTTTTATCACCATATATAATGATTTATCACAAAACAGCAAAAAAATTGAATTCATTTTTGAGGCGTATCATAACATCATAATTATTGTCATGATTATTTCTATATTTGCTAGGAAGTGCCATGATACCACTGGAATTACATGTATATACCTCAAGTTACAACAAGCAGACATGACAAGATGGCAGAGAGGTATAATCTCTCACATGAATGAGTGAATGAGTCTGGTTTAACCCTGCTTTTAACAGTATTCCAGTCATATCACGGCGTGTCAGCTTAATGTGGGAGGAAAGCCCAAAGTGATGCAGGTCTCAGACATTTACCACTTCGATGAAACCCACGAGCACGGGTATGGTGCTGAAAAACCTAGAAACATGATCGGGGCGAAATCTCTCACATGAAGCATCCACACTTACAGGCACTCCAGTGATCTGATAGATGGGGTTGGTCTGGAAATCCAAGTCAGCCATCTTCACGCCGAATTTCAATCACCGATATTGGGAGAAAAATGCCTTCAGTTGACCAAACAGACCACTCTCACTGGCAGAAATCCTTAAAAGTTCTGAATCTCCCTGACTCCAAGGTGAAGTATGTCCACACGCAGCTTATTGGAATAATTCAACAAAACTGACTTTGATCCCCAACGCACTAGCAATCCTTTCAGTAAATATCACATTTAGAAACATGTATTTATCCTTTGTAACTTATAAGAAATTTGATCTCATAAATTCCGTACAACCTGTTACCCTCCTGTAATATATATCACAGAAACCAGTCCACTGTTTACACAAAAACAATCAATCTGTCCTCTCAATGCACAAACAGGTTCTATGTCAATATTATTCTCAAGACAGAGCTGGAAACATTTGACATCGACGTTCCTGTTAAGTAGAGTGGTAGTCTTGCTCTAGACAAGTGTTTGCGATATTCCGTGTTTCCAGATCTTCTTCAGCAGGATGACAATCCTACACGACCCTCTGTTCTACGACATTATCAACTGACCCCGAAACAGTTAACTCATACTTAACAAGACTCCATCAAATCACTCCCAAGAAACAAATCTGAATTCGAACATTTGTCAAATCAATAAGTGGAAAACGCGAGATATTAAGCTGACTGTTGCTACACAGATTAACTACTAAGAAACAATGGGTGGCAAATCTTTATCCCTGTGCTCAATGCCATTGGGAGAAGCTTTCTTGCTTCATTGATTTTGTTGAATAGCTGTGACATAGGTTTGAATTGCTTGATTAGAAGCGGTTTAATGACCCCATAGTCGAAAGACTGGGTGTTTATAATGGGCTTAGCGAGCATGGAAAGAGTAGTTGACAGGACCGTCAGCTTATAGTAGCTCCCACGGAGAGGTTTATATACCCCGTGTGTGTTAAATAATCATATCGTTGCATGACATAAACAGCTTATATATCGCATATAACACCCCTGGCCATTCTCATTAGTTCTATGGTATTTGAACCACGACTTGTCCTTCTACATAATCACCATTGTGTTGGCCTGAAAGATGGCTGAAAGTGGACAATAGCCTTATTCAGAACCTATTTCATATCAATGCTCAGTTTAAAAGAATGATTTTAAAATTTCAATAACTGTTCACGGACACTGGGTAATTTCAATACCTGTACCTTCGTAAATGCATTACATGGTTTGCAATTGAGAGATCCTTGTATTGTTGACAAATGTCTCTTGACAAAAGTGACAATAAATTTTAAATGGTAGACAGTTAGGAAAGCAGAACTTACACAAGTGGGGATCACAAAAACTTGATTCAAGATGAAGGTGCATTGGAATGTTAACTAGTTTATGAATGTGGCCATCAGTGATAGGCAGATCGCATCTTCCTAATTTTTCCTGCCTGCTAAACTGCCTCACAAATGACAAATGAGCATTTGACAAAAGGTTTTTAAAATTAATACTATTTTACTATACAAAATAGTGAATGAATGTGATGTGACTAATGTTCCATGTCAGCTTTGTGTGTGTGTGTGTGTGTGTGTGTGTGTGTGTGTGTGTGTGTGTGTGTGTGTGTGTGTGTGTGTGTGTGTGTGTGTGTGAGAGGTGTGTGTGTGTGTGTGAGAGGTGTGTGTGTGAGGTGTGTGTGTGTGTGTGAGAGAGGTGTGTGGTGTGGTGTGGTGTGGTGTGGTGTGGTGTGGTGTGGTGTGGTGTGGTGTGGTGTGGTGTGTGTGTGTGTGTGTGTGTGGTGTGGTGTGGTGTGGTGTGGTGTGGTGTGTGTATGTGTGGTCTGGTGTGTGTGTGTGTGTGGTCTGGTGTGTGTGTGTGATAGAGATAGGTCAAAATGCCCTATTGGAAATAGTTTGACCTTAGTCATGGCAAAATGTCTTTAGATACTCGTATAAAACAATCTGGTCATGCATACACTGAAGTTGACTGAATTTTTATCTTTATCATCAACGATCCACACAATTGGGAAACGTACATAAATCAACCAAGTCGGCGAGCCTGACCACCCGATCCCGACCTATTGTAAGTAATCAGTTGGGTGTATCACTGAACAAGATAAAACCCCTCAAATGTTGTATCATAAACTCTTCCTTATAGGATTTGAAATTACACCTTACTTCACCCACGGACGTATATACACGTCTTTGCGTCACCCCATTCCCATCTGCATTACATAATTACACAAATTTAAAGTTTAAATCAGTGTACCCCAATTAAGAAGCTTTTTAAGAGAACATAATGAAAAACATACACACAATAGTTAACCCCCCCCAAAAAAAGTGAAGCTAATGATCTTTAAGTGCTAAGTACATTTGGTTCTGCAGTATCCTGTAAATTGGTTATAGGCTACTGTATCATAGAGCCAGTGTGATATGTTTGTAGACAGCTTAGCAGCTCAAACATGGCTGATTAGAACACAAATTGTAGACGGCAGCTCAGTCAATGGATTTATCCCCAGTGATCCATGCTTGGGGTTGGGCAGTGCAGGGGCTGGCACTACTGGTCGGAATAGGTTGATCTCAGCTTCTACAGGAAGGTAGGCCAATACTCCGTATCCTCTAATTAGTATATCTGCTTTTAGTTTGTTTATTCATATATTTTTAGAGAATCTCATTTGTCAAGACTAGAAATTATCACTTATCTTTAGAAAGTCACCATCAGTATTTTACAAATTTTATTTAACACATGCAGTTTTGAAAGACAGCATTATTCTAAAAAAATATTATCAAAAGGCCAAAACAAAACTTTTTTCAATTATTGTACAAGTCTACGTGCCAAAATCTCACAGGGGTGATGTATGCAAGTTATCCTTGTTGTCCTAGTGTGTACTGAACAATGCAGTACTCATAACAGACAATGGAGATAGACTTAAACCACCACAGGGAGCCTTTTTATTAGGGCTGGGACGGGTCACTCGGGTACCCAGGTCGGGTGGGTACTGAGCAGGACCCGGGTACCCACAGGAATACCCGGACCCGTGGTTAGTCACGTGATCTATTGTTTAACTATTATTATGACAAAAATTATCAAGAACTCTATGGCTACACTACAAGTCACTAATGTTTGCATTTCTTTCTGACTGTGCATCCTTTCCTTCTGATTTTTTATATGGTTGAATAAAGATATAACTTAATTCAACTTCAGTGTATGAATGACCAGATTGTTTAATACATGTATCTAAATACGTTTTGCCAGGGCTATGCTAAAAATGTTCCCAATCGGACATTTTGAGACATCTCCTGAGACCTACAGTGGGTACCCGGGTAGGGTCGGGTAATAGTGGGGTGGGTACCCGGGTAGTAAATTTGGACTCGTCCCAGCCCTACTTTTTATCACAAGTGATGAAATCTGTAATGAAATAATCCAGCACACAATAGAATAAGGAGGAGATGCAGAGACAGAGCATGAGACATTATGTTTGATAGTGAAAAGAATTCATTTGCTGTAACACAGAGCTCTCAGAGAGACAGAGCTCACTTGGAGGTTTCTGGAATACTTCCAACAGCTCTTACAACAAAACAGCATGACCATTTTATGATTATGATTATGATTATTATTATACATGCATAAACAGCAGAGTGAAAGAGAAATTGATGTTTGTATTATGGCTGCCACGGCTGTAATGTTTAAAACAGGACGAAACCATATACACCAAAGTACAGGTTTAAAATATATCGGAATGTCTAGACACATATATGATTAATAAATGTTTTACCTTTTTACAAGGACAAGTACATGAAATGATGCTGTAACTCACCAAATTAAAATATGGTTTAAGGGTACAATAAACAAAGATAAAGGTTATAAATAAGAATAAACAATTGTAAACCATAGTTGACATACCAGGGTCCAAAATCAAATTGAATGAAAAAAAGTATATGTTGATCTGCATTGTATGCTTTGCCTTGGAATATGTACTTACCTATATCAAATTTCATAATTGCTAAAAAAGCTGTGAAATGGGCACATGACATTTTCAACATACAATGAAACCATATTGATCTGGACGTTGTTAGACCGAACGTGCTCCCTTCAGGATGTTTTATTTAGAATATTACTTCTTTCTATCATTTGTTAATTCTGAAAACAGCAAACTGAGAAAATTACACTGGGTACGGTACTGCACAAATTCATAACTTCAGAATCGTTTTCTTTACTGATACCCTACAAAACAATCTTCCTGTAATTAACAAATGTTTTGCTATGGACATTAACTGTAGACCACCTGAAAAAATCCAACCAAAAGGGCAAAACACTTTTGGACATTTCGAATGGAGCAAAATATAGACACCATTGATGAGCTTACGTACACAAAATTTAAGCCAATCTCATTAAAATCAGATCTTAGTTCTCGCTACCGCTAAACAAAGATCTGAGGACATCCCATTAGGGGTCACGTCAAAATGACCTTTCATCCGACCAATCAGAGCGTCGCTTACTAAATCATGAAAGTGATAGTCGGAATGTGATTTCTTATCATGCAGCCTCCAAATCTTTAAATCAGGGTTTTCCGAAAGGATAGTTACGGGCTTAACAACTAAATCTATACAATCTAGATTAATTATTAGCCATTCAAGAATGTTCTTTTGTTCAGGTTTCAAATTTTTATGCGATAATTTGTCAAAATATGTTTCGAAGCGTAGTCACCAATTTGCAATTATTGCCGTAAAGCACGAGAAAGCTGCCTTCTGATTGGCTAATGTCGACTTCTTGTCAGTGAATCAATCGGTCGGTCAGAGTTCGTGAAAGGTCGGTCTGACGTGACCCGGCAGCGAAAACTAAGATCTGATTTTAATTAGATTGAATTTAATTTTGTGTACGTAAGTTCAACAATGGTGTTTCAGGGGAGACGTAAAAAAAAGTTACAGTAAAACTATAAAAAATGGGTGTGTGTGAAGGTCAATGGCTGAAGCTGGATCAAGAATCATAATGTGCTAAAATACATTTCAAATGTTTATACATATAACACATACATAGTGCTTATATATATTATGCTTTGAGCACAGCTTAGGGAGATACCATAATTTGAATAATCCCTGCAAAGTTTCATCATCATAGGCCTTGTGGTTTCCATGGATATACCCAAACATTTTTTATGTCCAGATGTACGGACGGACCAAACAGCACTACATAAGATCACTTGAACTTTCAGTTCTTCCTTTTTTAAAAACCATTTGTGTCTTTATCACACAAGCACCTGATGACTGAAATAAAATGAAACAAAAACATTGTCATCAATATTCCCTGCATACACATTGTTTGATGATCAAATACAAATATCGTATTCGACATAACAAGCGCCCCGCCTAAATAAGTGCCCACAGCGATATTTGCTCATATATTGGCACGTGAACAATCCCAATTAGCACCCCTTCCGATTGATCAATGTAAACAAGACTTACTCATTCGCGTATAATACACACTCCTGCGTTATATGCACCATTAATTATGGGCAATTAAATTCTGGAAAAATATATTTGCCGTACATAAACATTTCAGGCTCTCAGCATAAACCACAAAATTTATCTTCCAACTGTTTTTTTCACCAAAATAATATTTTAATAAGAGCCCCCTTTTTCTAATTTTGAGAGCGCCCTGGGCGCTTATTACGTCGAAAACAGTAAGTCAAGTTTGGATGTTACATAGAAATGACATATGTAACATGCAGGGGATTCTCATAAAAAAATATGTAAATCTTCTGCTCATGGTAGTATGTTGTCTAATTGAACAAAATATGTCAAGCCCATCCCTTGAAATCTCCATACCAGTCAAATACCCTCAAAAAGGTCGAAAATAATTAGACATGCCAAACAGTTGTGCCCCTGTTGTGTCTGAAAAAAAGGCTAAACATGAACATGATGAATTTAAATGTTTAATCAACACACAAACAGTTTGTAACAACTACCATGACAACTACAAGTTAATGGTCCTTTTATGACTGCTTCAGTTACTATTGACACACAAACAACCAACAGCTAAAAGCATGTCATACAAACAAAAAACTTGATCCCAAAACTCTACCTGAAAACCCAAGTCAGGATCTCTGGGCATATACAGATTGTGTTTTAAACAGATAATCTTCAATCAACAGTTCGTTCAAAACATGTCATTTACCCTTGGATGATCATCTTAAATCATCTTGTAAAGTGAGTTTGATTTTATGCTCTTTTCAACAGCTCTACTGTAATAAATACCCAAGACCTATTTGCCACCATAGCCATGTTCAGGTCACCATCTCAATTTGTCTTAGTACTAACTTAGCACACAATCTCTGGCTCTTGAGGGTACTTTGATCTGATGATTGTATTTAGCATCGTGTCACTCAAATTGGGCTTAAAAAGATTTCAGTGAATTTCAGTAACGCTGCTTTGAACATCATTTCTGTTACACTATTTAAAAAAGAGTAGTGAAGGACCGACCAATACTTTCACAGAGCTCCAGATAAATTTTTGAGCAATTGAGTTTTTACTTTAGGGTTTCTATTTTAATTGGGTTATTACATTTTTCATTGGGTAACCAATATTTTTTCACTCATCTATTCAATAGATATATTCAATAAATTAATGAACATTTTAAGATTTAAAAAAAAGGAAATAATGTTTTACATGTATATAACTGTTCTAAATATATAGGATTGACTCGGAAAGTAAATTAGATTGTAATTTTGTTTCGGAAATTAGCTCCTTTGTACGCATGCTGAAAAAGCTTCATTGGGTATGGGCGCTGTTTTTATACATTTGAGTTTTTCATTAAAAGCATGCTTTCTGTACACAAGTTAATTGAAAGTAATTTGGTTTTGAATATTTTGGGGGAGTATATTAGATATGCTGCTTATCTGTAGCTCTGCTTTCATATTACAAAAGTTAATCTGGTAGTCCTTAACTTTTTCTAGTAGTATATATCACACCTTGAGGTAGGAGGAAAACCTGAAGTGATGCAGATCCTTTACCACTTTGATGAAACCCACAAGAATGGATGCGATACTGACAAATCTAGATACATAATCGGGATGAATCTGGTTTCAAACCTATGATCATGGGTTTCTGGAATGTCTGGGAGAAGAACTGCACACAACAAACGATGGCCTATTTGACTACAGGGCCACCTGAGCCCTGGGATTAAACAAAGCAATGGTAGCAATAGTCTTACCATAATACAATGGAAATATAATACACTGGATTTTCAGAGTCCAAAGTGACACTGGTCACCAACATCGCGCTGATTAAATAAGGATCATTATTAGTGTGAAACCCTGATACCAAAGACGTAGATAGATATGTATATACGTCTCTGCTGATACTGCCCACTACAAATGGAGCCTGACAAAGGGAGACAACTGTGCTCAATGAACTGTCTTGGTGCTGGGTAAACCAAAACATGCTTATACTACTTGAAAATATTTATGTTCACGACAGACATGATGCACATGATCCGATAAGGTATCTATCCCCATCTCACTCTGCAATACAGGGGGGCACGGGTGGCCCAGTTGTCTAAGGCGCCGCGATTCGATATGCAGAGTTGCGTCCCTTGGGCACGCCAGAAACCTATGATTGTGGGTTCGAATCCCAGTTCGCCCCGATTATGTTTCTAGGTTTGTCAGCACCAAACCCATGCTCGTGGGTTTCACTGAAGTGGTAAACGGTAACAATGAGTCAAGTGTTATCACAGTGTTTGTTTGTTTGTTGTTTAACGCCACACTCAGCAATATTCCAGCTATATGACAGCGGTCTGTAAATAATTGAGTCTGGACCAGACATTCCAGTGATTGACATCATGAGCATCGATCCATGTAATTGGGATCGATGACAGGCATCAATCATTCAGAGAGCCTGACCACCCGATAATGTTAGTCGCCTCTTACAACAAGCATAGTCGCCTTTTACGACAAGCATGGGTTGCTGAAGACCTATTCTATCCCGGATCATCACGGATCGTTAGTAACTTTATTTTTATCATGAATTGCTGCACGTTATTTCCAAACTGTACACGCTAATCCTGCATCGATTAACATTAGGGGTGTCACAATTCATTGGTGCAATGTGAATTTACACCCTACGATACATGACAAGCATACTGGGACACCTCTGACATTCATAGGGGGCACGGGTGGCCCTGTAGTCTGAGGCGTCGCGATTTGATATGCAGAGTTGTGTCCCTTGGGCACGCCAGAAACCTATGATTGTGGGTTTGAATCCCGGTTCGCCCCGATTATGTTTCAAGGTTTGTCAGCACCATACCCGTGCTCGTGGGTTTCACCGAAGTTGTAAACATATGAGACCTGCATCACTTCGGGCTTTCCTCCCACATTAAGCTGACACGCCGTGATATAACTGGAATACTGTTAAAAGCGGCGTTAAACCCAACTCACTCACTCTAACATTCATAGGTTAGTATTTCCCCAATCCACCTTCTCCTCTAACTCTATGGCAGACACCATGGCAGACAGTAGCTATAATTAACCATTGGTGCACAGAACATGCTCTACTGTGGGTGTATTCCATGAAGAGAGAAGTCCATTACATTGAAAGTAACAGAGAATGTCAAAGGGTGAACAGAAGTGCTCAGATCGCTTGTGCATCCCACAATAGAGTGGAAGATTCTACTAGTGCTCATACATGTCAGACCCAGAACTGTGGCTGCTTGTCTAAATGTAGCAGAGTTTATGTCCTATACAATTTACTCCAAGTGTGCAATAACATCCTTTCGATTTAGCATAATACTGAAGGGATGTCATGTATGTTTTGGCACCCTTTACTATTTTGACATAAAAAGCCTAAAAAATTGACTGTTGTGTCAAACAGGATTGATCAACTCCGTTTCTTTCCAACTGGTCAATTATATTTTGAGTGTCATGATAGCAATGTTTTAACCTATTCAAACAATGTTACTATTTCACATCAGTTTTTTTAATACATGTACAGATATTATAATTGTTTATCACCCAACCACTGTTACAGATTTCCCATTGGAATATTTCATTTGTAATTCAAAACTTCATAACATTATAAAATACTGCCATGAATTGTCTTCCATTCTAGTCTAGAAGAGAGATATTTTGCTCTACACAAACCTTTAAAAACACCACAAAAGAAGTCACTACTAAGAAAATTGACAATATTTTATGTACACTTCAGCCACATTTCACTCCATGGAACTTCTCTCCACGGAGTCTAAAGATCTGACACAGGTTGTGCAATGCTCATAGAGAAACAGATGTGTAAAAGTATAAAACATCTACTCCAATGTCCCTTACACCATGTGGTAATAGATAAATGTCTCACCCGAACTGAACTCATTTTTGGAACTGAATATGAATCAAGTATTAAATTAAAACACAAGGTTATGTGAAGTTTGTTTGTCTGTTGTTTAACGCCACACTCAGCAATATTCCAGCTACATGACATGGTCTATAAATAATCCAGTCTGGACCAGTCAAATCAGTGATTGACATCATGAGTTTCAATCTATGCAACTGGGATATCACATGCATCATTCAAGACAGCAAGCCTGACCACCCATTAGTCGCCTCTTACAACAAGCATGAGTTGCTGAAGACTAAGGTTTCTGTGAAGTAGCAAATGACATTTGGTGGGACTTTTTATAAGTTAGTTATCTGACTACCAAACTTACAAAAATGAAAGTGTAAAAAATATGTCTGAAAAGACCTCTGCAAATCTTTTGTTGTTGTTTTTCACAAAAGAATCAGTTAAACAAGAAACAATAAAGTCTCACCTAATCATGCTAATAGCAAAAACTATTATCAGTGAAATAATGGCTGCAATCAACTTGTCATCATTATCAAAAAAAAAAGAGTTTGCAGAGAAGAAAAGTGACAGGATAAGCATATTGTCACTTTGGCAGCTAGCTCTAGCCTTAATTCTTGTCAGGGATGATATACATATCATATAGATCTATTCTCTTGAAATTCATCAAATTTTTGTGAAAATTATTTGGTTCTAATTGTTGAATACAGGCCCCAGTACAGACTCTCCACTTATCATACTGAATCTTCTCTATTATTTGTGTTGAGCATAATGGGTCTCTCTGTGTACGATTTTGATTTTCCCCTCGTGTACCCTGAAAAGATAGGGTACGGTTTAGGTTAACCTCTTTGAGTTCCAACAAATCTTTGAAGGTCCCAGACAATTTCTCCTTGGCTTTGGGTCACATGCACTTTGATCCCTTTGGTCATTCAGGAGTCCAAGCATGTGCATACTATGCGGGATACCCCAAAATAAAGTCAGGTTTCCACACATGAAATATTTTGATATACAATGTTATACTTGATTTTAAAAAACCTCACCCAAACTTTCTCTGAAAACGTGTAGCGTAGAAAAACTATAAACAAACGAGAGTTACTTCCCTTGATAAAATAATTCAGTTGCAGTCCAACACACTAAACTATAATATTCATGTTCATCGAAATTATTGTGTGTTTATATCCACGTGTGCCAAAAAGGCAAATAATTAGATGATGGCACAAATACAAAATACCCATGTTCCTAAAAATGTACACGTTATTTGTAAACACAAAACTAGCTTTCTATCTTCGCACAGTATTCTAATTAGTTGGAAAGAGTACACAATGTTTTTAACTATGTGTTGCTACGGAAAAATCGATATTAATCATGTTTTCTGTGTCGACAACGTATCACACACTTGCGATAATTCAACTCTTTTATTCGCAATATATGTTAATATACCTAATGCGTCTATGTATAGAAAATACTGGACTAAATACACAAAGAACCCGCTGGGGCATGGACAATCAGTTGCCATGTGACGTCATCAGTTTACACATGGCGGCCGGGGCCATATCACTTGCTTGATTTGAGCGATGTTTTGATTTTCGTATTTATGTTGTGGCAGGAGTTTATGATGCACGATGTCTTCACTTTTGTGTGTGCAACAACCAGGAGGATCTGTTAAGATCCATTCTGAAGATTTAGTACAGGAACTTACACAAGACAAGGATGCACCGCAACTTCACATCATGGTAAGACGCGATAAGAGAAAAACCACCTGTCACTTTAGTAAGTCAATTTTACAATAAATATTTATTTCCCCAAATAGGCTATATTTTCCCAACACATTCTTCTTATATGAACATTAATAAGACTTGTGTCATAGGCATGGTAGGCAGAAGTATATCGTGTTTTGTTTCTTCCTTCGGGTGCTGGTAAAAGAATGACTTCGTAGGTTCAATGTGTTATCATCTTTTTATTATTTCTTTCCAGTCAGCAAGTAGATGTAGACGATCTAGCAGAAGATCGAATTCATCTGTGTCTAACCACCGCCAGCCAGGAAGTAATGGAGTAGACTCCAAAAGTCTCATTGGCCAGTCCTTGAAAATACAGGATTGGTTGAATGAAAAAACAGTGAAAGACTTACAGGTTTGTTGAAGAAGAAACTTATGTATTATATGTGTAAAGAAATACTTAGAAATAATCTATTTTTCAACTCTGCGTTTACATAGATTATGAAAATAGTTTTAAGAGATTATAAAATCAAACAAGGCCAATCTTTTACTGTCATACAATACTTCTCTGTGTGAAGATCAGAGGAATCCACTGTATCTTGAAAATGGACTAAAATTACATGTTTTGAAAGTAAAAAGCATAATGGCACCATTATATTGTTGTGGATATTTCATACATCCTGTCATTTCTGAGTGCCATGGCATCTACACATAAAAGTGAGTACCATAAATAGAATATTTGTGTTGTGTAAGTTTTCATAGATACAAATCAAACTTTCCTCTCTAAGGTGGCACAAAATGAAGCCTAAGCAAGAACCCACTCATCCTACTTTTAAGATTAGGCAGTCAATATTCACTCATGATTCACCTGAAGAGACCTTCTAGATAAGCTATCCTCAGATCTTAGTGCAGAGAGTAGGGCTAGGACGAATCCAAAGTTACTACCCAGGTACCCACATCCCTATTACCCGACCCTACCCGGGTACCCGCTGTTGGTGTCAAGAGATAGGTACAAAATGTCTCATTGAGAATAGTTTGACAGTAGCCCTGGCAGAATGTATTTAGATACATATATAAAACAATCTGGTCATGCATACACTGAAGTTGACTGAAGTTTAAGCTTTGTTCAAACATATATAAATCAGAAGGAACGTGTTCAAAGTCATGAAGTAATGCAAACATTAGAGACTTAAAATTGTCATGTGACCATGTATTCATATAGTGATTTTTTGTCATGAAACAATTATCACGTGACTAACCACAGGTCCGGGTAGTCCTCTGGGTACCAGGGTCCTACTCAGTACCCACCCGACCTGAGTTACCTGTCCCAGCCCTAGCAGAGAGGTATCATATCGGAGTAAAACATGGGATTTAAATGCAGTGGTAGAAAATAATAATTTTAGTCCACTAGTCCTTAATATGATAAGATATAGCAAAACCCTTAAAAATGGCAAATTTCTACTCGTCCTTATGATACCTTAACTACTGAACAGTTTGGCAAGGACTACAGGACTAGTGCCAATTTGTAAACCTGAAATGAGAATGTGATTGAAACGAAACACAAGGGTAAATATGTCCAAAACTCATTGTTAATCTTTCTTTAACATAAGTGTATGCTTGGCACAGTATGGATAGCATAAACATCCTACTTTCCGTACAGAGTTCACATTTTATTGTTCCCACTAGACTTTTTTTTTTTCACACCCCAATCATTATTATACTTCAGCTTTGGTCTGATAAGTGGATAAATATTGCCAGTCTGAAACTTGACGTTGACAGATATATATAACCCTATTGCAACAAAAACATCAACATGAAAAAGTGAAGTAATTTTAAATTTTTTTTATTTCAGGAGAAGTCTGACTCTGAATCAAAATCTGTGAAGAAATTGTATGGACCATTATTGGAAGCCGAGACTACCTTTGTCAAGGTAAGATGGTCAACAGAAGTGCTATTTAGTGCCAGCATCGACTGGATGATTCAGGCAGAATATAGTCTCCAGTTGGTTTCACTATAGATGTAAAGGAATGTATGAGTACTGTCTGTTGATTGGTTGGTTGGTTTTACGCAGCACTCAGCAATATTCCAGCTATATGACAGCGGTCTGTAAATAATTGAGTCTGGACCAGACAATCCAGTGTGATTGATATCATGAGCATCGATCCACGCAATTGGGATTGATGACATGTATCAACCAAGTCAGCGAGTCTGATCACCCAGTCCCGTTAGTCGACTCTTACAACAAGCATAGACGCCTTTTACGGCAAGCATGGGTTGCTGAAGACCTATTCTACCCTGGATCTTCATGGGTCTACTGTCTGTTGAATGGTAGATTGATAATAAGTGAGCGAGTATCTTTGAACAGTATTTCAGTTATATTGAGGTGTGTCAGCTGGATTCGTGTCTTTACTGATTTGGTGAGATTCAGTGTCTGTAGCTGTTAACTGTCCCGCCTGCCCGTGGCTGTTAACATTTCTGTCGGGCTGCAGGCAATTTTATAGGTCATCTGCCCCACTGTCTTTTTTGAGTTTTAAAATTGTTTCAAACACTGGTGAGATTGATAATCAAAGGTTGAAAGGGTCATAGATATACTTTGACACTCATTGACTAAACTACATACTACAGACCAAAACATTCATAAGTGGTTGAGTATTTTGAGAACAATAACCAGTTTAAGATGACACATTGCTGGGTTTATCTGGATAAACTGTCATCATCATGTGCCTGGTTGTTGCACAGGAAGACGGAGTTATCACTGTGCATTCCAATGTTAATATCAAGGCCAAGGATCTTATTTTCACAAATTTACATACTGAACAAGTACTGCAAAGTGTACAGTTGTTAGAGGCGTGAAAATCTCGTGCTCCGTGAAACGTGTACATTTTAAGCATGACAGGCCTTTACTTAAACAACAAACACGTAAGAACCGTACAGTTAAAAGGAAATTGTGTTATCTGCTTTACATGTGAATGGTGGAGTATTTGGAACTTGAGTATTTGCCTGTGCTCTAAGATAGAGAGCTTGTGCCAGTACTGTTGTGAGAATAAAGGGTTTTGTATACCCTTTGTTCGAGCGACAGTACGTTGATGACCTGATAAAGTATTGGCAGTCGTCCTCGAAAAATACACTTCAGCATATGTGTAAACAGGGATGGAACTTAACTTGGAGCACTTACAAGCTCAAATAGTGGTTACATATGGACACCATCTGAAAAAAACCCTGAACTCTCCAAATCCTCAGGATACCTTTACTGGTGGCCCTTGAAGATCAGGGCTAGAAAAGTCTTCAGCAACCCATGCTTGCTGTAGGCGACTATGCTTGTCGTAAGAGGTGAACAACGGGATTGGGTGGTCACTGACTTGGTTGAAGCATGTCATCATATCCTAATTGCGTGGATTGATGCTCATGATGTCAATCACTGGATTGTCTGGTCCAGACTCGATTATTTACAGACTGCTGTCATATAGCTGGAATATTGCTGAGTGCTGCGTTAAACAACAAACCAAACCAAAAAAACCTTTACTGGTAATAATCCAATGACTGACTAAGGCCCCACAGGCGAGTGCCATGTTGCATGACCAAGTGTTAACCCTTTGTTTGGTTGCTCCAGGAAGTTGACGAGTACCTGGAAGACAAGGATCTCCTGGATCTCAGGAAGAAGGAGCTCCTGCACAAGAAGTGGAATGACCAGGTCTATGAGCCCCTCCGGAAAGAGATCATTGATGTCATGGATGGCTATGATTGGCCAGATCTTGACCGCAGGAAACGAGAGATGCACAAGCAGTACTTGGAGTTTCTGAATGATAAGGTAATATTTATATTTCATATGTTTGTTTTTTGTTAATAATGAGGCCGTGTTCAGTGTTGGTAACGGGTTGAGATTAAAACACAGACAGAGATTTGGGGAAGCCCACTCTGATCTCATTGAGCGCATGTTGGTTTGGTTGGTTTGTTTATTTAACGCCGCACTCAGCAATATTCCAGCTATATCACAGCGGTCTGTAAGTAATCGAGTCTGGACCAGACAATCCAGTGATTGACAACATGAGCATCAATCCATGCAATTGGGATCGATGACATGCTTCAACCAAGTCAGCGAGCTGACCACCTGATCCCATTAATCGCCTCTTACGACAAGCATAGTCACCTTTTACGACAAGCATGGGTTGCTCAAGACCTCTTCCACTCTTCATGGGCCTATTTCATATCTATATTGGCATGCTTGTGCAATGAATATGCATGTGAGCAACCTGTATGTCATAATATGGATATGGCATTGCATGCATGCATGTATATTTAAGGTAAATAATGCACAAAGGAAAATATGATTTCATAGTGTAAAAGGTTCAGTGGGACCAAACATAATTTAAGGGACTTTTTATTTTACAGTCACCCAATTATATGACATTCTTTTGATAGTTCAGTTTTAGGAGAAATACTGTTTGATCCAAGTTTAGAAATTATGTATATTATGTATAAATGCAGTAACTGAAATGACATAATTAAGAGTGTGCAACATTTTGAAAACAAACTTTTAGAGGTCTTTGATTAAGATAACATGAAAAGAATACTTTCTGTCGGTAGTTATTTTTTTTATTTTGTTTGAAATTATCATATTGTTGCTGGTTTAACAAATTTTAAATTTTCAGAGCACACAGCAAATTTTCCAAATGTTGTTTCAATGTTCTCTGCACTGCTTTGCATGTTCTGACGTCTGTGTGACAGGGTCATGTATTCCTGGACACCATGGATCCTAGGGAGTATTATGCACAGGCCCTCACTGGCCACAGACCTGCACCCATCAAGGTAATACTCAACACACTGCACCCACTTGTCACAGATAACCAATATACGGGCCCTCACTGGCCACAGACCTGCTCCCATCAAGGTAATACTCAACACACTGCACCCACTTGTCACAGATAACCAATATACAGGCCCTCACTGGCCACAGACCTGCACCCATCAAGGTAATACTCAACACACTGCACCCACTTGTCACAGATAACCAATATTCAGGCCCTCACCGGCCACAGACCTGCTCCCATCAAGGTAATACTCAACACACTGCACCCACTTGTCACAGATAACCAATATACAGGCCCTCACTGGCCACAGACCTGCACCCATCAAGGTAATACTCAACACACTGCACCCACTTGTCACAGATAACCAATATACAGGCCCTCACTGACCACAGACCTGCTCCCATCAAGGTAATACTCAACACACTGCACCCACTTGTCACAGATAACCAATATACAGGCCCTCACTGGCCACAGACCTGCACCCATCAAGGTAATAACACACTGCATCCACTTGTCACAGATAACCAATATACAGACACCCTCACTGGCCACAGACCTGCTCCCATCAAGGTAATACTCAACACACTGCATCCACTTGTCACAGATAACCAATATACAGACCCTCACTGGCCACAGACCTGCACCCATCAAGGTAATACTCAACACACTGCATCCACTTGTCACAGATAACCAATATACAGACCCTCACTGGCCACAGACCTGCTCCCATCAAGGTAATACTCAACACATGACACCCACTTGTCACAGATAACCAATATACAGGCCCTCACTGGCCACAGACCTGCTCCCATCAATGTAATACTCAACACACTGCACCCACTTGTCATAGATAACCAATATACAGGCCCTCACTGGCCACAGACCTGCACCCATCAAGGTAATACCCAACACACTACATCCACTTGTCACAGGTAACCAATATACAGGCCCTCACTGGCCACAGACCTGCACCCATCAAGGTAATACTCAACACACTACATCCACTTGTCACAGATAACCAATATACAGACCCTCACTGGCCACAGACCTGCACCCATCAAGGTAATACTCAACACACTACATCCACTTGTCACAGGTAACCAATATACAGGCCCTCACTGGCCACAGACCTGCACCCATCAAGGTAATACTCAACACACTGCACCAACTTGTCACAGATAACCAATATACAGGCCCTCACTGGCCACAGACCTGCACCCATCAAGGTAATACTCAACACACTACATCCACTTGTCACAGATAACCAATATACAGGCCCTCACTGGCCACAGACCTGCACCCATCAAGGTAATACTCAACACACTGCACCCACTTGTCATAGATAATGGAATGTGCTTGCATGTGCTGCATGAATTTAGCACTATTAAACTGTAGTCTGTAGCAGTACAAATAACTTATTTATTTAGGTTTGAAGGGAGTAAGTATCAAACTTAGAAACGTAGAAAGTGTTATTAAGCACTTTGTTAATGCCTGACTGTTAAGTTTAGTTTCTATATCTTTATTTTTATTATCATAGTGTGAGTGAGTGAGTGAGTGAGTGAGTATGGTTTTACTCCACCTTTAGCAATCAATATTCCAGCAATATGACAGCAGGGGACACTAGAAATGGGCTTCATACATTTATCATTGTGTGAGAAAATATTAAAAACAGTATTTAGCCATAAGGCATTTAATAAAACACAAGCTTAAAATATTCTGCAAAAGTGAACACTTTCAGATTATGAAAAAATATATTCTAAGAAAAATATTAAAATCTTTCTAAATTGTGCTTTTTCAATTATTAGAAAATGTTTAATTGCACTAACATGAACCATTAAATCATTGAGAAAGACAGATGTTCAATGTTATTAAACATTTGTAAGGAAACAACAAATTCAAACTGGAAATTGTTATTTTGTGCATTACAGAAATTAAAGAAATGAACTCTGGTAGCAAACGATCGCTCAGTTTTAACCTCATGTTGTTATCCCCATGTCCTGCAGGTTGAGACAGCAGCACTCCGAGACCCGCTGTTGTCCCAGGGCCGAGAGCGGAACATGGAAGAACGGACCATTTTGAGATGCATGACCGGAACACGATACACAGACCGTGATCTGGAACAGGTCAAGCTGCCCCCCCTCCCACTGGTCCCCCTTGGGCGCCATGGCACCGACAGTCTGCAGTGGCTGCAGATGCCATTAGTCAATATAGAGAGTTCTCCAAGACAGATAAGCAGGTAGACTAGATGCTTCTTAGTTCATAGAACCAGCATGTGAAGATCAGAACAGATTCCATGGAGAGTTTTTTACATGATCTGAACCCCATGGTTTGGTTTAATTTTATCAAGGGCAATTGAAAATATAAAAAGGCTGATTTTTTCCTTCTTACGAAAACAAAATGGGTCAATCATTGGGGATGAAAGTATATTTTAACATGAGATAAGGTCCTTTGGATGCAAGGTGGACTGCCTGTAGAAACTGTATTTCACTGTCGTCTGAAAGGGGGAAGGGGGGAAAGTATATTTAATCAGGTTGTAGATGTTACCACTTTGGATAAGTGAGAGAGTTAGATTTAATGCCGCTACAGTATTCCAGTTCTATCACAGCTCAATGTGGGAGGTAAGCCCAAAGTGATGCAGGTCTGGGGCATTTACCACTTTTGTGAAACCCACGTGCATGGGTATGGTGCTGACAAACCTAGAAACATCAGCGTGAACTAGGGTTCGTATCCACCCTATCAGAGGTTTCTGGCATGGCAAAGGAAAGCTACTCTGCAACAGCAAATAGCAGCACCTAAGCCGACTGGGCCACCCATGCCCTCCCCCCCCCACCACCACCACCACCCCCGTCAGTCTGGGTGTAGGATGGAAATGGTGCACAGCTCGTTGACCACTAGGAATGATCCACACTCAACTGCCATTGTGTGCTTCAGTCTCGTATAACAAACACGAGGTACCAGAAGCATATGCCACGGCAAGGCTCCTTCAATATTACTTTATTGGGGTTAACTGTAATAGATACAGAACTGTGTCCAGGGACAAAATCTCTGTCAAAGCAGATCATGTAATTAGCTCTGGCATAATGTTATCCATTGTTTGTGTAATTGTTTATTCCTACCGGTAATTTATTTTAAGTGAAGTTCCATAAAGATTATTTTTATAATTTGTAACTTATATTAATTTGTTTCCAATTGTAATTAATGAATTTATCTGTCTTTCATTACAGTCTCAGTGAGGATTTGTCTCGTAAATTATTATGTATCTTACTTCAAATTCAATCATTCTTAAATGATTGAAATAATGAGTAGATTTAATTCCTCCTTACCAGTACACTTTTATATCTCCCCGATCACAGACATAAGTTAAGTGCTGGTTCTATACTTATAACAACTCCATATCTCCTTACACATATACAGCAATGTGTGACTTATATTGGTGTTTGTCTATAGTTCACAATTTCTTTTTCAAATCAACTTATGTGCAAGCCCTTTTCTAAAATGATATAACACATTAGACACTGTTAAAATTCATACACATTTTGAAGCATCTTTTTCTGAGAATATAACTTTAAGGATTCTATAGAATTCATTTCGAGCAAATTTTGTCGCCATATTTAGAAGTTGTGAACTTTGTTATATACTGTCTTAACATGTTTTAGTTTCTAGTGGGTGGACATTTCAAAATGCCGTTTTTTCATCGAATACCAGAAGGACAGTGTATCTAAAGTGTATTAGTAAATTATAACTTAGTGTTAACAATTGATATAAACATGTAATAACTTAGATTAATCCTTGGATGTGTGTAGAATGTGTGTGTAATGTTGTACCCCTAATACATAGCTGTCAAACTGAACACTAAATATAGCACTAGTTACTGATTGGCACATGTAGGTGAATCATGTAGTATGACTGACTTATGGTGAATGGACTAGTTGTCAGCACTATCACAGCGGTATGGATTGTAAAACTGGACGCGGGTCAAGGAAACCAGTAGATGTTGAACCAGCCATAGACATCTTCTCGAGCAGGTTAACTGACTATAAAAGTCCAGTTTCCACCCTTGCCGAACTAGGCTGGTATTATGGAGTTACATTTCGGCTGGACTAACGAGTCTATGCATAGTCCAATCAAAATCTCGCAACGAAATCAAAATCCGGTTCGTAAACTGGCGTGCAGATTTCGGTCGATTGCAGGATTTGCAAAGCATGTGCACAGCCATCTCTTGTCAACAGATCTTTTCCAAATCTTTTCATGTTTTTAATCAAGGTGCTCACGGGATTTGATGCATTTCGCAAGTGAGACCCGTTTGATCACAATATAGATCTTGATTATCGATCAGATCGTCTTGACTGGGCCCCGCCATTTTTTTTAAACAAGTGCAAGTGATAGGATCTGATTGGTCCATAGGAGAGGCTCAGAAGGGACATAACTCGTAATAACCACTGGTGGCGCTATGATCGAGCCAAGGAATTCCATCCTAGTTCGGCAAGGGTGAAAACTGGACTTTTAAAGTCAGTTAACTCTCTTGCCTTGGGAAGATGGCCATAGATGGCTCCACTGATTTACCTTCATCACCAACTCGACTTATAGCTCGCTCAAGTGAAACCTTCGACCAGGATTATTATTATTTCAAATACTGATACAATTTTTACCCTTTTGGATTAAGGGCCATAAGATGTCAGGTTTGCCTGATAAGTGAGTGAGTGAGTGAGTATGGTTTTGCGCCGCTTTTAGCAATTTCACGGTGGGGGACACCAGAAATGGGCTTCACAGATTGTACCCATGTCGGGAATTGAACCCGGGTCTTCTGTGTGATGAGCGAACGCTTTAACCACTTTTGACCTTTGTTCTTAACGTTGGCTACCAGGAAAATATCAGGATCGAGTTTGCTCCTTTGGAAAAAGATCAAACTTTGCGATCATGTGAACAAACCTTTGGTTTTGGGGGGTCAGTTTCAGAGTAAGTCAGGTCTCGAGTAATGTTAGGCCTGGCATCTATTGTGAGACATGTGACTGACCTTTCTGCTGTACTGAAAATCTTGTCTGTACAGATCCTCAGTGTCCAAATATAGATGTAGAAACTGATTGGTACATGAAGCTAACATGTTGTATATTTCTGACCACTGAAACATTTTATTCCACCAGCTATTCATGTAATTTGTGTTCTTACAAATACTTCCATTTGATGGGAAATCAAACTCTGGAACTTCATATCAAAATGTTAAGTCATGCTAAGTTCCGTATGCTTCTCTGACAACTGTAAAATTTAATTGCATAAAAATGATCTAAATGGTGCCCGTGATAAAGTCAATGCAGAATACAGGTGATTTTATAGTCCACTTCACATACCTGATATAATGGACAGACTCAGTTACCTCCCTTTAACTGGACCTACTCACATTATTGATAAAGTTTTCTGGTTTGTTACGATTTTTTGGGAAAAAAACAATCCTGGGATAGAAACTTGATGTGAGATTTTCAATGCGAATTAGGCTCATAAAAAAGATTGTGAGTGTTTCCTGTTTCAGCCTGTCCCAAAATAGGGTAGGTAGGTTGTTTTTTAGGCGGTGTTTTCTCACGTTTTTTCTTTGAAAAAATGTTAGAAAATAGCTAGCTTTCAAATGACAATTAAATGCTGCTAAACTGAAGATAATGATTGGTTTGTCTATAGTGAAACAACTACTTTACTCTTGTGGCATAAAATACAGAAAAACTCAAAAAGAGCAAGGAAAGTGTTTTATTGGATGGGTCCTCCAGATTAGAGTTTGGCAGGGAACAGGAAACATACTCACTTTTTGCTTTGGCCTTGTAAGACCCCAGTAATAACTGAAGACTTCCGTAAGTTACATGTGATTCTATTTTTTCCCCTCAACAGGCGCCGAATGCACGGCCACGGAACAACCAGCTTGTTAAATTTCGAGGAGTGGGCCAAACAATCGTTTGACCCCCGAGTTGTCGACCAAGAGCTGCAGTGTCAGAAGAAACGCATGTTCAAGGTGACCCCACCCTACAATACAGTCCCTGTGGAGGTGCCACGCCCACCCATGATCATGAAACAGGACAGAGGGGAACATCAAGTTGTCACCAAATGTATCTGATCTGACCGATACTTGCCCATGTCGGAATCTCTATCACTGTCAATGTTGGAGTGTGAAACTTTACCAAATTTGCAAAGTAGCAATAAACATTGCATTTGAAAATTAAAATCAACCTAATTTTTCTATCAGCAGTGCAAATAATCAGTTGTAGGGTGAAAAATAGTCCAGTCTCACAGTCCCTGAACCATATTACTTTCCCTTCCGCCCAGCCCTTAAAACAAAAGCCCTAAATGAGGCAAGTCTAGATATTCCTCAGGTATCTCTGATATTTCTGGGTCTCCTTTTCAATTTAAATGGAGTTATTTGTTTCTATCAATAATATGTAGATTCAGAGACTAAGCGTTAGTCTATGTGAAAAACCACCAGTCAGTTTATGCTAAACATTTTCATTGCATTTATTGATCCTTGTTAAAAGGTAACTGGAAAGAACAAGACTATCAATGGGACTTATTTTTATGAACCTTCAAGGTTGAATTATACACCGATTAAAATTCTTCCCTTTGTAAACAAGAATAATTGAATAATAAGAATAATTTTCTTTTGATAAACTAAAGATTTTGATATTGGGGTCAATGAATTTAATATTTTTAAGACTTGTGTTTTAACAGTGTTGGATATGTTTTAAGTGCCTATGGTGTGCTCTAAACAGTGTTCTGAACCATTAGTGATTTGTTTAACTCACAATGAACTGATTTTGTTTAATATTGTGTTATTTCTTACAGAACGTTTATTCAATATATTCAAACCTTGAATGCATATGTGATGGTTGAAAGTTATTTGAATCATTGTTTATTTTTTATTCAATTTCTTTTTACCTATGTCTTGCAAATTGAGTGATGTCTTTTACCCATCACAGATCTTTTGGGTCTCCAAAACATGGTTGTTAGGTAAACTTATTTGAAATATTTCTGTATGATTTTTAACCAAGCAAAAATATTATTTTCAAACAATTGAAAGGTAATTTATATCGATGTTTCTTCACAGGTTCATATGAACACAAGAAGTAACACTTCCATATTTGCACCCGTTTTATTGAACAAATATGTAAAATCAATTATATAACATTATTCTGAGGAACATATTTCTTGTATTTGATATACTGCTGACTTTTTGTACAGTACATTCTTCTATAGTACCTAAGTACATCTTCCTGTGGCTGCCTCTGTAGGCACTAACTGCTGTTTATATATTGCTCAAAAGGCTGCTATTTGTACATATACAAGTTATTTATGTAGATGCATGTTTATATACTATACAGTATTGTCTTTCATCCAGCGTGATTGCCTTAGCTAACAAGCAGTATTATCTAACACTGAAGGCAACATGACTTGGACAAGTCTAACTGAAAGTTGCATTTGGACCAGGATGATTTTGATGTTTTTATCAACAATAAATGATGGTTTGTTATTGTTACCATGGAAACGATTGGAAAGTGAAGTGTATTGCAAACGTTTCAACTTGTCAAGTCTTGTTGCCCAGTACTTTTTTTTTCTAGGCAATTGTTCCTTGTTGGAAAATGTTTAGTGTACATTAATAAACATTCTTTTTACATGAGAACATTTATGTGATCTTTCTTCATGATGTGTTTCAATCTCAGATCTAACTTTATCACTGCCGCTAAACAAAGACCTGAGGACATCCAATTACAGGTCACATCAGACCAACCTTTCGCGAACTCTGACCGACCAATGGAATTACTGACAAGAAGTCGACATTAGCCGATCAGAAGGCAGCTTTCTCGTGCTTTACAGCAATAATTTCAAATCGGCGGCTACGCTTTGAAACATATTTTGACAAATTCTCGTTTAAAAATTTGAAACATGAACAAAAGAACATTCTCGAAAGGCTAATGTATGGTCTAGATTGTATAGATTCAGTCGTTAAGCCTGTAACTATCGTTCGGAATACCCCGTTTTAAAGTTTTCGAGGCTGCATGATGAGAAATCACATTCCGACTGTCACTTTCATGTTCTGGTAAGCGACGCTCTGATTGGTTGAATGAAAGGTCGTTCTGACGTGACCCATAATGGGATGACCTCAGATCTTTGTTTAGTGGTAGCGAGAACTAAGATCTGATTTTAATGAGATTGTGATGTGTTTGTGATTGAATGTGATTGTATGCCCTGGTCAGCAAAAATAGTATTCAGGTATAACCATGAAAAACACTCCACCCTTGATAAGGATTCCATTACCATACTGAGGATTGAAAAACGGTCATTATGTTTGTTTGTTGTTTAACGTCGCACTCAGCAATATTCCAGCTATATGACGGTGGTCTGTTAATAATCGAGTCTAGACCAGACAATCCAGTGATTGACATCATAAGCATTGATTCATGCAATTTGGATGCGATGACCTGCATCAACCAAGTCAGCGAGCCTGACCACCCGAACATGTTAGTCACCTCTTAGGACAAGCATAGTTGGCTTTTACGGCAAGCATGGGTTGCTGAAGACCTATTCTACCCCGGATCTTCACGGGTAATTGTTACTGGGTGCCAATTCTACCAATTTTAGGCTGCCTGGAACAGTATTTTAGTTATGTCATGGTATGTAAATGTTGGACATGAGACCAAATTGAGCTAGTCTTGGATGTTTTCTCCATGACTGAAACACTTAGGCAATGGTGCTGATGTAGCAGACATAAAATTGTCAAGTCCTGTGATGAGATTCGAACCACAGATCTTCTGAAGTTGGACACCTTGTCCACATGACCAAGGAGGTTAACTCATCAGCAAGCTGACAAGGTAAGGATGTCATCTATAGGGTGGCTCCACACCCTGCTACATACTCCCTCTTCAACAGAAGGCACGTCCAGAGCCGCATTGTAGGGTACTATGACTTCTTCCGCTCAAACATGATATGGATGTGGTCAGTCTCAGGTTGGGCGCCAATGTAGCAGCCAAAGTCCTGTGACAGGATTTGATCCAAGGTCGGATGCTTGTCCTCATTACCAAAGTCGTTTAACCCCATCAGCAAGCTGACATGGTAGAAATTGAGGATGTGATCTCAAGCTCCTTCCAAGCGTGTGACACCTTTGTTACTCTCGGTAACATATAGAGAGCTCTGCGAACAGGATCTCGCTGTGAGGAGCTTGGATGTGATCTGTGGGATGACTCCATGCCCGGCTGCACAGACAAAGGATCATAATGGAGGCAATTCTTGGATTGGAAACCTTGGACGCCTTACAGCAAGTCTGCTCAGCATATTAAATGTACATTGCATTATATTATTATACCTTTTGAGCTTACTAGAACCATACACTAAACAGTTGAGCTTTCATGTGATAGATAATAACATATTAACATATAGTCAGAAAACTTCAGAAAAGCATTGAGCAAGCTGGGTATACAGAGAAGACATTTGTTTTAATTGACTCAATAAAGAAAAAGAAGCAAAATGGACACTGGTAACCTGAAACAAACAGATATACCGTATTCGACGTAATAAGAGCCCAGGGTGCTCTCAAAATTAGAAATAGGGGGCTCTTATTAGAATGTTATTTTGGTGTAAAAAACAGAGTTGAAAGATAAATTTCGTGGTTTATGCTGACAGCCTGGAATGTTTATGTACGACAGATATATTTTTTCCAGAATTAAATGCCCATAATTAAGGGTGCATATAACACACGAGTGCGTATTATACGCGAATAAATAAGTCTTGTGTACATTGATCAATCGGAAGGGGTGCTAATTGGGATGGTTCACTAGCCAATATCTTAGCAAATGTCGCCGTGGGCGCTTATCACGTCGAATACGGTCACCCACAACATCTTGACAAAGCCAGTAGGTAACACCACGGACTTATATAGGTCCGTGGTAACACTAATAGAGCATGATCCAGCAATCAGTTCTACACTCAGATATAGGTCAGTGACAATCACAGATTGGCGTACAATACGTCAATCGAATTGTGAGACCCCAACACAACGTATTGTCTGTGTCCCAATCAGTCTGGGTCATGAAAACTGGGACATTTCCAAAAGTCCACATTTACGAGATGTTTTCTGCAACAATCGGCCACCTTGCACAGCCATTTGTATAGACCAGAGACCAGATGTCGGTATATGGTCATTCTATAGACGATTTGCTTTATTTGGAATTAAAGCGTGAAAATTGGGGTTCAAAGAGGACAGTTTATCCGTGAAAGTTATGGTAAAAAGATAATAAAACCGCTACACCAAACGTCATAGCTCGTAACAGTTGACCAACTGAAATGTCGCCAAATTAGTTATAGGTCGATTGAGGCAACTGACCTACTCTGAATCGGTTACAATACTTCGATTGGCGTATTCTGCTGTTATCCCCTACCTGCGATATATTTCTTGTTCACAATGTTTACATTTTACTTGTACTTTTACATTTGTAAAGGGTAAGACTTCCGCCCGTATATATATAATTAAAAGGATTGAGCGACAATCGACATAAGTTTGGAAGGGGGGATACGGGCAGAAGTATCTCCTTGTTTAGCGCTAATGTCAGAATTCTACTGCTCAAAATGGCTTGAGACTGAGAAATGTCATGATACATAAATCGATGAAGTCTCTACACTGCTTACAAAAGTAAGTATTTGTAAGTTCCTGAATTGAGTGAGTGAGTATGGTTTTACGCCGCTTTTAGCAATATTCCAGCAATATCACGGCGGGGGACACCAGAAATGGGCTTAACACTTTGTACCCATGTCGGGAATCGAACCCGGTCTTCGGCGTTACGAGCGAACGCTTTAACCACTAGGCTACCCGACCGCCCCTGCTCCTGAATTAAGTGAATGTGCAAAGGTACACTATTCCATTGTTATGGGCCTGCTGTCTGAAATGTTATGTCACTAAATGTCACAGGTGACCTTGGTTTAACGTTGGGTTCCGACCTGTTTGTACTAGTCCCGATGCCATGCCATAGTTGAACATGGGTACCTCAGTCAGACACAATCACTGACTCTGAACCGACCAGCCCCGGTTTTATCCCCTAAGGCCGAACACCAGGTAGGGTAACAAGTCCTACCATATTTCAACGTCATTATTTTTAAAATTTTCTTTTCTTTTCTTTCAACGTCATTATAGGAGTGTCACAGCCGGTGATCGAACCAACGATCTTCCGATCTCTTGAAAGAGGCTATACTCACTAGATTTTGTTTGTTGTTTAACGCCGCACTCAGCAATGTTTGAATAATTGGGAATTTGGGATACGATGGTATGCATCAACCACGTCAGCGAATCTGAGGTGAGGTGAGGTGAGGTGAAATTGGGTTTAACGTTGCGTCCAAGATTATATCACTTATTATATATATATATATATATATATATATATATATATATGTGTGTGTGTGTGTGTGTGTGTGTGTGTGTGTGTGTGTGTGTGTGGCTGCTTGTACTAGTCCGGACTGATGCCGATTTATAGTGCTGCCATGCCGCAGTTTAACATGAATAGCCCACTCAGACATAGTATACTGACTCCGAGCCGACCAGTACTTGTTTTAGCCCCTTAATGCCGAGCGACAGACAGGGTAACAACAAGTACCATCTTTAAACGTCTTTTGGTATGACGCGGTTGGGGATCGAACCCCGGACCTTCCGCTCTCCGGGCGGACGCTCTACCACTAGACCTTGGAGGCGGTCCCAGCGAGCCAGACCACCCGAACCCGTTTGTCGCCTCTTACGACAAGCAAGGATTGCCCTCCTCACAAGAACACTGTCCCACATACCTTATTTCCATGAAGTCGTCTGGTCTGGCTTGGTTCAAATTATTTGTAATATTATCCATTACAGTTAACCACCTGAAATCTACTATAACTTTATCAAATGACGGTGATAAAAAGAAGATAAAATCAAAGACATTTTAGAGCTGAAATGATACGTCATAATTTGAGGTTTGACATTTTTAGATCATTTAGCTCAGTCTACAGAGAATCCTAGGCCTTAATGGAACTAAAGTAAAGGATGATAAGATTTTCGAGAAGGGGTCCTTCCCTGTTTCCTAAAAACACAAAGTGTTTGAGCGTTCCGCCAGTGCGAACGTCTGCTGGTGATTGAGTGAGTATAGAGGGAAAAAACGTGCACTTGGCGCATGTGTGGTCACAATGCGCGCAGCACGCGCGTGGGCGAATTGAGAACAGTGTGACGTAAGCTAGGCCCCGTCTCTCATATCACAAGTGGACGACGCGCACCGGGCGCCGAGAACTAGTTTATGTGTGACGCAGACGTTTGGGGATAAAAAGTGCATGCATGTGTCACAAGTGCAAGTTAGATTTTAAAGATTAATTGTCGTAAGAGATCGGGATCGGCTGGTCAGGCTCGCTGACTTGGTTGAGTAAGTGAGTTGGATTTTACGCCGCTTTAAGCAATATTCCCGTAATATTTACGGCGATGAATACCAGAAATGGGCTTCACACATTGTACCAATGTGGGGAATCGAACCTGGGCTTTCAGCGTGACGAGCGAACGATTTAACCACTAGGCTACCCCACCACCCCCGACTTGGTTGATGCATGTCATCGTATCCCAATTGCGTAGCTCGAGGCTATATTGTCAATCACTTGGTTGTCTGGTCCAGACTCGAC